ATACATGTGACTTGGGCAGCTCCTGACACTGAGACTAGCTCCACTTTCTAGCATCGCTCTCATTCCCCACTATATCCTGATCTTTTCTCATCAGTAGCCATGACACATGTCAATATTTTCAAAAGCTCTATAAGCAGCGTGTGTCTGTGGGACTTAAGAGTATTAATCAAATTCATGAGTTTTCAGTAACTGCATTATCAGAAAGATATCTTTCATAATTGGTATTTTTAAGAGTTTTTTTGTTGGCCATGAGAGAATCGAATATGACATTGGAAATAGTTGCTATCAGTGATTTATGAAGTGCTCAGCATTATTATTGTGACTGTATGATAACCTCACAAAACTGGACTGGGTCAGACAGACTTTGGCCAATCATGGGACCAATGATCCACACCGATGTTCCATACTGATTCCCATATGGGCACTGGGAGCGGAATAGCCTAGTGGTTAGAGTGTTCCCTCATCAAGCCAAAGACCCAGGTTTGTTTCTCAACATCCTGAAGATGTTAGACGTTAAGGATCCTCTGCCTAGTTATCGGTATAACATTACTGAAAGCAGCACAAATCTATTCTGATTCCATCCACAGCAAGTAGTGGGGTAGCCTAGTGACAGTTGAGGCAGAATATCTATGTTCAAGTGTTCGTGCTGTAACAGTGCTGAGGGCTGTATAAACCTCACTCACTCACAGTCAGGTTGTAAGTTGGACTTACTGTTTCCTACACCACTACTGTCCACTCCCTGAACCTGTTGTGTGTAACCAGTGACTTACTAGGCACCAGAAATACTATGACAGTTAATACTTTGCTAATTGAATAAAAAATAATGTGTGTCGGATTTCCATTTTGTCAAACCTCTTACTCTTGATTAAACTCAGCTAGAAAGTAGAGAATGTAAAACTTCCATGATAAATGAGTCACCTGATTCCTCCTCTTTGTTGTCTCATTTGTATACGTTCAGTTCCAAACTTGCAGCCTCACCTCACGCAAGCACTATACACCAGGGTAATACTCAGATTGAACAAGGAGACTTCAATCAGCAAACACATGGGAAGTACATTGATTTTCTCTGCCTGGCAGCTCCCTAGCACAGATCATCACATATCTGTAAACTTTACTCTCTGTCAGACCTCTCCCCATCCCTAATCCCCTCCATCCACACCTCCACCACCCTGCTCCCATGTTCCCCCCTTCATCACAGCAGTCTACACTGACCAGCTACAAGCCATGTTGCCAATCCATTTACCCCTCACACCTTCCAATTTCAACCTGCCAGCTGACTGTACCTACTCTGCCAGCAATGCCTAATCAGGTTCCTGCCAGGCAAACCACACAGTGGCAGTACAGGTTAGCGCTGTTGGTTCAGCTTCTTGGAGTGCCTGTGTGGAGATTGCTGGATTGCATGCCTCAGATCCACTGTTTGATTCCTTTTAATCTCTCCATTTTCCGAGGGCATTAGCATCCCAGTCAAATAAGCTGTGCTGTGAAGAGTTGCCTCCCTTGGGTACAACAGAATTCTGCAATCGTGGGTTTGAACTCCAGATTTTGTTATGTGTGATATCTGATTTGTAATCATTGTACTCATACAGATGCAGATCAAAGTGCCATCACATGGAACTCTTCTTATTTCCTCTCTGCCATCAAGATGACACCCCTTGATATAATCGCAATGCTGTTGGAAACAACATTAATCAACTCACTCACTTTCCATTGTCAGTGGTTTGTTCAAGGTTATGTCCTCCAGAGAAGACCCAGCTTTTTGCAGGGCCTCGGTTGGGATTTGGCCATAGCTGTATTGAATGCAGATTGACAGTTCAGTCTAAGCAGTCTATTCATTTTCTTCAAGCTACGAGGAACTGTTTCAGATACAGGAAACTGTAGACCACACTTAGCTCCAGTGTACCCTTGTGGTATGAAAGTTAATTGTCTAGCTAGGAGCACCTTAGGGGGTTCTTTGATTTGGACCATTCAGATTGAAAGTTGTCTCCTTGAGACCACAGACTGTTTCACATGTTTTTCTGCTGAAGAGAGAAAACATTGATTTTATGAGTCTTTTTATGATTGCTCTCAGTTGTAGTTCTTTGCAAGTTCTGTGAATCTTGGTTTCAAGATTTTCAATTTATAATAATTCTACAGAGGCACAATGACAAGACAAATCTCCAGTATTCTATCGTTGATTGGTTGGTCAGAGGGGCTGTGACACAAGCACTACAAACTCTGTAAGTCAGGTTAGATGTGGTCACTAGTCAGTTAGTCCCAGACTAGCGAAAATCAATAACTACTGGTTGTTTTCTCCATGAATCAAGTAAGTTTACATAACCTGGTAGCCTGGAATGTCTCAGCCGTGGAGATTCATGCCATGACATTTTTAGAAGGCGATATGGAAGAATCAGGTGGTGATTATCCTATTTTAAGTAGGATATAAGGAGCAAGTCAAAACTATCAGCATGATGATAGGCTTTCTTCTTTTTTAGAGGAGAGAAATGTGTTGTATAATAATAGATTTCACAGAATGTATGTTAATTTAGCCAAAGTGTCACAAAAAGGTTTTTATCTTTCCTGTATCTCAGTGATTAGCTCCATGCCAGTAAGGAGCATGATAACATGTGAATATGGTGCACCTCCAGCATGAAACATGACACATTCCTGTGGAATGCTGGAGTTTTGTGTTCACAAAGAGATAAGATTAAAGCATGTTAATCGGTGGATGTGTGCAAGTGTTTCAAAACCTTTTGCTTAAAGCAGGTAAATTAGCTGTTCACCAGTGTGCACTCAACACCTACATCTCAAAGCTATGTCTTGTGAGATTCCAGTGTAAGGTCCCATGTAGTTGACGCTGGCCCCTTACAGGGATTCCAGGTTACAACAGATCCCCACATACCTATTTCCAGCCTCTGGCAGCCTTATTACACTGGCCCATGAAGATCCAGGCTAGAACTGGTCTTTAGTATTCCATGCTTTTTGTCAAACACCATCAGGTGGTCAGGCTCGCTGACTTGGTTGACACATGTCATCGTATCCCAATTGCATAGATACATGCTCATGATGTTAGTCACTGGATTATCTGGACCAGATATTCACAGAGCACTATGGAATATTGGTAAATGTGGTGTTAAAAAACAAACTTGTTGCACATTTTTACCTCCATCACTGACTATTAGGTGTGAAGAACATTTTGACTTTCCTGTAATTCCTTCTGAAAGCTGTTCTTTTCTTGATTTTTTATGTCTAATTGCCTTGGGTTTGTGTAATCTTTCAAATGGCTGATTTCCTTACGTAATGGCCATGTTTCTATAGGATTTGTCCTGGCAACATTTGCTGTGCAAGATGGTTAAGCCAGTAGTTACAGCATTAGCTTTTAATGATCTTCATGTGAATGGCAGAAGCCATCCTATGTGTTCCCCTCCATCAAGTGGTTACAATTCTGCCAAATAAGGCATAAAACTTGCTTCCTGATTTCTTGGCCCAACTATGAGTTGATGTAAGTGATGTAGGATGGCCTTGTTGATAAAGAAGCAGTGGCATCTCTGATGTTAGCGACCTTCTCTTGTTGGCCCCACTATGATGCAGCTTGCTGAGGCATCATGAACCATGCTCCTCATGTAAAGAGTGTAGATGATAGCGAGAGTGAATCCAATGATGATGTTTCAAACATTAAAGTCACACAGCACTTTCGTCTGGCCTTTGATCTCCTCATCTTCTACAATCAGGGTTCCAGCATCAATCAGTGTTAGTGACGGAGCACATGTTATGTAAGTGTTCCTGGGACTTACTCAATAAACACATCTCCATTTAACTCTCATCAGTGTTTGTGGTGAAGATTTATAAAAGTATTTCAACTGTCCTCAACGACAACCTCCTCCTACCTTCCATTAATGCAGCTATTACATTGCTTTCCTTGCTTTTGCTTTGCCTTCCCATGTATAACTTTGCCTTTATCCCAATCACTGCTCATGATGTTAGTCATTGGATGGTCTGATCCAGACTCAATTATAGCTGGAATATTGGTTTGTGCGGCATTAAACAACCAAGAAACAAACAAATCAAACTTTGACTCATCCTGTGACAGTTCCCCATTACCCGACACTCATTCTGTGGGCACTTCCATGGCTCCCCTTCTCATTCTTTGAACAGTTCCGTATGTCCCCACCCTTTTGTTGGCATTTCCACTTTTCCCAGACACACTAACTGTACTAATGTATATGAATGAGTCAGTGTCTACTGTTTCTTTGTGTATAGAAAGTGGGTCATGTGTCTGCTGATGTATAAAAGTGGGTCATGTGTCTACTGTCTTGATCTTTTTTTACAAGACACAACAGGCTCTTGTAATATCTCTGTGTATCATATAAGGCAATATTGCATGTCATAATTAAATCACATCCAGCTAACCTCCAATCATGTAACTGTAAAATTGCCTGAAACATCACTGTAAATAACAGTAAAATTCACTCTCACTCACTCACTCACTCACTCACTCACCACTCTCTCACTCACTCACTCACTCACTCACTCACTCACTCACTCACTCACTCACTCACTCACTCACTCACTCACTCACTCACTCACTCACCAGTGTTTAACCAAACTTCTCAATGCTCGTGACCCGTGAAGGTCCGGGTTAGAATATTGATCTTCAGTAACCCATGCTTGTCGTAAGAGGTGACTAACAGGATCGGGTGGTCAGGCTCGCTGACTTGGTTGACACATGTCATTGGTTCCCAATTGCGCAGATCGATGCTCATGCTGTTGATCACTGGATTGTCTGGTCCAGACTCGATTATTTACAGACCGCCGCCATATAGCTGGAATATTGCTGAGTGCGGCGTAAACCTAAACTCACTCACCCACTCTGAATACTTGTAAGCATGTAGATGGTTTGTCTGGTCCATAGTATTTACAGGTGGATGTCAGTTACCTAGAGTAATGCACAGTGCAGTAGATAGCCATACAAGCATTTCCTGCCTTGTTTGTGTCATGCTGATTGTCTCCTTTTGTTGTTGCAGGAAGTGGCAGCAGCTGTGGCAAGGTGATCCAGAGATTCCCGGAGAAGGATTGGGACGACTGTCCATTCACACAGGGCATAGAACTGGTCAGTATCTACTATGTTTAGCCTCTTCAGTATTCTCCAGAATGACAGGACTGACGAGTTGCTCAGTGTGATCACCTATAAGCTCCCCAAACTGTCCTTAATGCTAAGAAGATCGTAACTGATGAAATTTGACTTGGCCATACTAAGCTCTTAAGATTACTTTATAGAGCAGGGTTTCTTGTATGCAATTGTGCCCACAGTAGAACCGACCTGTATTGATTATTGGTCTGTATGACCTGAGAAACTGTAATGTTGTGGCGGCGTGCAGTATAAAACTACATTCACTCACTCACTCACTCTACAGCATTTGACTTAGAGTGCACTGCAGTTTGAACCGAGGCATCAATCAGACTCAATACTGGAATGATTCTTGGCCTTCCACAGATGATTAAAAGATTTTCGTGCAGCTGCATCAAAACTTTTCACAAGGAAACTAATTTGTTGCCTTCCCCCAATCTTCGCCAAAGATGATCTGATTTGACAAGATTTCATTTATTACATTCTCATAAAGACATCTTTGCTATTGGCAATGTTCAAAGTACATCACTTTTTCCTCCATTGATCACCTTTAGCTGAATAGCAGATGTGTCAATCAGAGTCTGGCGACTTGATTTGCTCTGGTCCTCTTGTCTGACATAAATGGAAACTTGTGCATTGATCGATGTAGGTCATTACAGCAGCGTTAATAGTCAGCGGGGAACCCCTGCCCCCCAAGGGGGCACTGACAGACAGAATTGTTACTGGTGATGTGTGGAGAGCTGAGCACACATACCTAACCTCCACCAGTTTATGTTGGTTCCGATTTGTCTCATATTTTGATATAGACAGACAGACTTACCCTGGCCCCCCTTTGCCATCATAGCTTTGTTGTAGAAGTGACAACACTATATCATTTATCTCTTTTATTTCTTACTTAGCACAGATATTCCCTCACTCATAGACTTCAAATTAACAACAAATATCTCATTTGAGAAACAAGACTGACATATATTTACTTTCAAAACTGCATCCTTGTACAAGAGAGTCCCATTTTATGAATGAACTTTCATCTGGTAAAGATGTTCACTTTACTTATTCATCAGAAAGGGGTGTTAACCAGTTGTGGTGCTACTGGCTATAGGTTTAATCATGAAAGAACAAGTCTCAGCATTGATTGGGCTGATATTCTAGAGTGACTGGACTGAAAAATGAAGAGGGATGTTGAATGACCAAGGGTATTTATCTTAATGGATGTAGATAGGATACTCTGTATGATAAAGGACAGGCTGGTTCAAGTTGCGTAGAATATCCGTGGATAGTTAGGGATGGCACAGTAGCCTGAGGTACTGATCTCTGTTGGATCCTCCAGTAGCCAACATTTCTGAGAACCTGAACCATATTGCTTTCCATCTCTCCTTCTCCTATAATGCTATGGCCAAACTGAAGAAGTCTAGGTTTTCCACAGGTTCAGGTTCTGAATCTGCCATCTTGGTAGAGCCCTTTTTTAATTAATATGTAGTTATGTGTTCTGTCAAAGTTATATATTTTCAAAATGGACCCTCAGCTGTATAATTCTGATAGAAACAGATAATTCCTTGTGTGAAACCTCTGTAAACATTTAGTGTTCAATGACTACAGAAAAGACTAATGCCTTGTCTCTGAAAATATGTGATTTTTGTAACAACAAACAACACAGCATAAATTGAAAAGGAGCTCCAGTGAGATGGGAAATTCAACTGGAACCTAAGGACAATCTAGACTTGCCTCTTTTGGGGCTCTCACATTGATAAAAGGGCTTGGATGGAGGGGAAATAATGTGATCAGACAGACTAATGCTTGTTGTGACGTCTTTAGTAGGAAATATGAAAGTACATGGTGAAGACCTCTGTGGTGTCTAGGCTACAACATGTCCCTTCGTCAGTAATGTTGTAATGAAGGCTTAGACATAGCCCTGAAAGGGTGTTACAAATAATGAACACACTGGTGTCTGCTTGCCATGGTATTTTGAATCCTTGGTTAGTGACTTGGTTTGTATGCCCATGTGTCTCTGCATTACTCACCTCAGACTTGCATTACTTGCTGTGATATAACTACATTACTGTTCAAATTGGAATTATAAGTAAGTTAGTGTTTAAATTGAACTTTGGAGATAATTTTGATTATTGAATAATTGGTTTGTGAATTTGAAGAGAATTACCTACCGGTAATGATGATAAAGTGTTCTCTAGAGAAACACATGGAGTGAGGATCAATGAGAAATATTAAAGTCATAAGGAGAAGGCTAGATACACATTTTTGGGATTGACATTCAGCAGGTGCCCCCTGAACAAGGGCCTAGCTATCAGTGCAGTCATGTGTGCCACAAGATACCTTGGAATGTTAAAACCTGTCTGGAAGGAATGATGTGTGCTCCTAATACTCAGTAGATGGAATGTTCAAGGCTAACAGATTCATGTGTAGAGGTTTCTCACTTCCTGTCAATCTATTACTTCACCTCCATACTCTGCCATGTATATATGACAGTCTTTCCCAAAGCCTTCTGTAGATTTTAGAGTTTCAATAACTTGCAAAAAACTAGTATTAGCTGAGCTTATGAGACCAAACAGATTTTCTAGACTTGGGATTAAAAACTAATTACCCTCTCAGTACACCATACTAATTTAAATCCACTCTCGACATTATCTCCACACCCTTCCATTATTATTTATTTTTTCCTCAAGTGTAGGAATTACCTTTTAAACTGATAATCATTATTTTAAAGATGTGTGCAAGTCTGTCCGCCATGACATGGCTTCAATATTGATGACTTCAGCATAAAACAACACATAAACATAAACAAGACGCTTCCAGTCCCTTGATGTTGTCATTTTACTGGACTCAATCTTCAGACTAGAGGCTGGAGTAGCACTCTGATATTAGAATATCATTAAAGCCATCATAAACCTCCAGCCTACCCTGCCCCTCACATTGATTGTGCTGCTCGATCAGTGTGTGTGTGTGTGTGTGTCACAGCCTATGACACATTCCTCCCACGGCCCTCCCATGCTGAAACTTGATTCACCCTCCCCACAGTTATTTCCTGGTTTGTCTCCCAATCTGCACAGTGGACTCCTGTATCCAGTCTCCTATGTAATCTGGCTTGCACATCTCTCCATCAGTGCCACTGTTTAAACTAAATAAAATCGCAGCAGTGTGTTCAGCTGATGTTCTCTTGGGTGATAAAACTAAACATGTAAGTGTGTATCTGTGGGAATTGATCACACATTCCTCTGTGATGGAAGCCCCGTGTGTGTTGATAGGGACACAAGGGACAGATGTGCACGAGCTGAAAGCTGGGGACATTTGTGTTGTTTGTAGCTGGTCGATACACATTCAAGTAAACATTGATCTGTCTGATACACTGTATTGACTTGCTAATGTCAGGTAATTAACATGCGGACAGCATTCTCATGGGACATGCATGTGACATACTTACCGACAGAGGAACGCATTTATTTTATATTTGTCAGATGATAATATTTGGCGGTTGATATATAAATGTGTTAAGATTATGCTGCATCAGCAAATTTGTGGCCATTCCAGCCAATGTAGTCCTTGAGTACCACTTTGTCTCAGAAATCCATAAATATGATAAAAAGAACAATCAACAGCATTTTAAGTGAAATGGAGCCAGCATGAGGTTGGAGATTCAGAAATTGTACTTGAGGAATATTTCAACATGCTTCATTTAATGCTGTGACATTACAGTAGGGACTGGTTGGAAGACAAAATTGTATAGTAGACTGGTTTTAGGCCAAATGCTAAAAGCAGTGTTGGTACATGTATTTGATATATGGAAGACGTTTTCAGTTGTTGTGTGCTCCTCCATCCTGATCTTGAATATGATCTTGATTTGGAACTCAGATTAAGAAAACATTTTCTGATTTTATTTAAACTTTTCACATGAATTTAAGTAGAGAAATAGGTCTGAGAAGAGTAATATACTACTGTAAACATTCAACACATTCAATCGATGAACATTCATCACAGTCAGTCAATGAACATTTCAGACATTAAATTGATGAACATTCAACACATTCAGTCGATGTACAGTCAGTTGATGAACATTCAACACATTCAGTCGATGTACAGTCAGTTGATGAACATTCAACACATTCAGTCGATGTACAGTCAGTTGATGAACATTCAACACATTCAGTCGATGTACATTCAGTTGATGAACATTCAACACATTCAGTCGATGTACAGTCAGTTGATGAACATTCAACACATTCAGTCGATGTACAGTCAGTTGATGAACATTCAACACATTCAGTCGATGTACAGTCAGTTGATGAACATTCAACACATGAACATTCAGTCGATGTACAGTCAGTTGATGAACATTCAACACATTCAGTCGATGTACAGTCAGTTGATGAACATTCAACACATTCAGTCGATGTACAGTCAGTTGATGAACATTCAACACATTCAGTCGATGTACAGTCAGTTGATGAACATTCAACACATTCAGTCGATGTACAGTCAGTTGATGAACATTCAACACATTCAGTCGATGTACAGTCAGTTGATGAACATTCAACACATTCAGTCGATGTACAGTCAGTTGATGAACATTCAACACACTCAGTCGATGTACAGTCAGTTGATGAACATTCAACACATTCAGTCGATGTACAGTCAGTTGATGAACATTCAACCAGTCATCATTTCTTGACTGCATTGCCGATGTAATATATTCCATGCTATGAAGTTTATGGCTGTTGAATGTTTTGTGTGTTTCAGTTTTGTCAGCCAACAGGATGGTCTCTCTCCACTCAGAGACAACAGCCCTCCTTCTACGTCGCTGTTTTGACCGACATCGATGCGGACCGCCACTACTGTGCGTCCTTCACTTTCTACGAGACCATCGCCATGACACCCACCCACCCCGACGACCAAGACGGGGACGACCAAGAACCCAACATGGTTCATCATTCACTCATGTTCGCACCCAAAAGTCTCGTACTGATGTCCAGGCTCGACTACTTCGAAGCTTTCAGGGTGAGAAACTTATTAGGGATACCACAGCTGAACTAGAAAAGCAGGATTAGAACCTTGCCATGCAGTATTCCTGAGTACTGAGACTGTGAGGTTCAAACTCTTCAGTATCGCAGGTATAGGATCATGTTTGAGCGTGGTCGGAAGGTTGCAGGGATTTACGGGACGCAAATTCCTGTGTCCTATACACATAATAATTGACAACAGACGCAACTAAATTGATTAAGCGTGTCCACATGGATGCAGAAAAAGTCCAAATACTTTTTGTAAAAATTTCAATCAAGTAACAATAAGTTATCACTGAGTCTGCTACTAGCTGGGTTATGATATTATTTGCAATTTAATTACTGTAACAATGTGGTGATCATGATACACAATACAATAACAGTAACTGAATTGCAACAATATTACAACATAGTATTAATAATAATATTGAAGTGTCTGGGACCCCCATTTTGTAGTCCAGGACCCCTGAAAATTAAGAGTATGAGTTCCAGGGACCCTCAAATACAGGTAAATGCCTGCGGTTGACATTACATCACAAGGATGCACACAAAGACTGTGAATGAACTAATCCATCTCTGCTGCAGCCCCCACTTTCTCTGTGCACCTTGTACCAGAGTTTACTTCTTGAAACAACATCCTCTTCCCTCCGTGACAAAAGCGAGCAGGGTTGTATGATCATAAGAGTTGTCTCCCTTTAAGCTATATGCAAGAAGTGCCAGTAAAATATTTGTAACTAAGATTTACTGTTATCAGACTTTCAGAGTAATCTAATTCTAATGTTAAAACATGTTTTCATTATATATAATTTTTAGTGGGAGTGGGAAGTAGATGGAGAAATGTATATATACCTCTTTTACAGAAAAAACCCCAACAGGATACTTGTTTCTGTTGCATCTTTATAATATATGATAGCAATTACAAATATGGTTTGGGACATCAATAGACGGACAAGTTTGATGTTTTATTGACACAAGCATGTTACCAACAATCTTAATTTGAGCTCAGCATTAGAAACAGAACATATCTGTTTACCATAAGAACACCTACGTAAGATTGAAATTATTACCATAGGGAAATGTTTCCTCCATCATAACTTTCAACAAGCGTACTTAACGTACCATCAGCTGGGACCCTGTGTTATCAGCAACTAATTGTTACAGAATTGTCTGGGGCTCATCTACACAGTGTATATGGAGAACCTGCAGGTGCAGCTGGAGACCATCGTGGGCAACATCCTGGGCTGTGTGCAGGTGCCCCCTCCAGGTATGTCACAGTAGGAATCCAGGGGAAGAACAGTTCCTCACTACATTAACCCTGAGAGTAGAGTTGGTGCTGTGCTGCTGGTAGAAGGCAACAGTGTTGGTGGTGTGGTGTGTGGCGATGATGTTGCTGGAACATTTGGTGTGTGGTGATGCTGTTGCTTGTGAGTCTGGTGTTTGGTGCCAGCTGTGATATTGCTGGAATATTGCTAAAGCGGCGTAAAACTAAACTCACTCACTGACTCATTGGTGTATGGTGATGCTGTTGCTGCTACATCTGGTGTATATGGGGATGTTGGTGCTTGGGAGTCTGATGTGTGGTGATGCTGATGCTGTTGCTGGTGCAGCTGGTGTGTAGGGAAGCTGTTTGCTGCTACATCTGGTGTATGGTGATGCTGTTGCTGGTGCGCCTTGGTATGGTTATGGTGTTGCTGTTACACCTGTGGCCGTATGCACATGTTCGGCGTAGCTAGCGTCAGGCGTAACACACTACGTCGGGCTTAGCAGCGCCCTCCTCTTACACGTCATGCACAACGTCGGCTAAGCCTAGGCGTTGCTACACCCGGCTTAACGGATTTACGTCGAGGAGCAGAGAGCTATTTTTAGATTTTCGAACGTTTTTAAACCACCGGCAAAAGGCGCGAAACAACTTCGTGGTACATCCCTTTCAGCCGTAATCATGGAAAGCCAAAGAAACCGAGAAAACCCAACTTTACCGATGGATCCTGATGGAGAAATAACATGGACTTTCAAAATGGGCTTCACCATTTTTACACATTACTGAAATCACGCGATTCACAGCGTTATTTGGTGTATGTTTTCAAATGTTCAAATCGGATAATTACTACTCAGAAGTATTGAATTTCAAAATATAGCATATTACTGATCACTGATATCAGGTTTTCATGAAATCACTAATGATAATTCTGAAAATACAGTTACCTGAACCGAGTCGCGCTTTTCCGTCATATATGGATAGTGTTTACAAAATCACGTTCGCGAAGGCCGGTATTGAGGCGTAATTACATCAATGTTATATCATATTCAGCTGCGACAAATGCATCACTGAATTCCCCATACATTTTGGAATCAAATTACAAATGGGCTTTGTCACCAATATCAACTGTCTTGATAAAATGAAACGAAAGATATTGAGTGTGAAAAGTCCAAACAAACGCTGAGCTTGTAAAGAAAGAAAAATTCCGATTTTACACTACGTAGCATTTTCTGATAAATTGATGCCAAACAGGTGCGCGTGCTGCTCACAATAAGATACGCAGTCAAACGTCTAATTGTTGATATATTCGGGACACTATTTAATTGGTAAAATCATTCATTTTATGTTTTCTCTATATACCTCTTTTACAGAAAAAACCCCAACAGGATACTTGTTTCTGTTGCATCTTTATAATATATAATAGCAATTACAAATATAGGTTAGGACATCAATAGACGGACAAGTTTGATGTTTTATTGACACGAGCATGTTACCAACAATCTTAATTTGAGCTCGGCATTAGAAACAGAACATATTTGTTTACCATAAGAACACCTACGTAAGATTGAAATTATTACCATAGGGAAATGTTTCCTCCATCATAACTTTCAACAAGCGTACTTAACGTACCATCAGCTGGGACCCTGTGTTATCAGCAACTAATTGTTACAGAATTGTCTGGGGCTCATCTACACAGTGTACATGGAGAACCTGCAGGTGCAGCTGGAGACAATCGTGGGCAACATCCTGGGCTGTGTGCAGGTGCCCCCTCCAGGTATGTCACAGTAGGAATCCAGGGGAAGAACAGTTCCTCACTACATTAACCCTGAGAGTAGAGTTGGTGCTGTGCTGCTGGTAGAAGGCAACAGTGTTGGTGGTGTGGTGTGTGGCGATGATGTTGCTGGAACATTTGGTGTGTGGTGATGCTGATGCTTGTGAGTCTGGTGTTTGGTGCCAGCTGTGATATTGCTGGAATATTGCTAAAGCGGCGTAAAACTAAACTCTCTCACTGACTCACTGGTGTATGGTGATGCTGGTGCTGCTACATCTGGTGTATATGGGGATGTTGGTGCTGCTACATCTGGTGTATATGGGGATGTTGGTGCTGCTACATCTGGTGTATATGGGGATGTTGGTGCTGCTACATCTGGTGTATATGGGGATGTTGGTGCTGCTACATCTGGTGTATATGGGGATGTTGGTGCTGCTACATCTGGTGTATATGGGGATGTTGGTGCTGCTACATCTGGTGTATATGGGGATGTTGGTGCTGCTACATCTGGTGTATATGGGGATGTTGGTGCTGCTACATCTGGTGTATATGGGGATGTTGGTGCTGCATCCGCTGGTGATGTTGGTGCTATCTGGGGATATTGGTGCTGCTACATCTGGTGTATATGGGGATGTTGGTGCTGCTACATCTGGTGTATATGGGGATGTTGGTGCTGCTACATCTGGTGTATATGGGGATGTGGTATATGGGGATGTTGGTGCTGCTACATCTGGTGTATATGGGGATGTTGGTGCTGCTACATCTGGTGTATATGGGGATGTTGGTGCTGCTACATCTGGTGTATATGGGGATGTTGGTGCTGCTACATCTGGTGTATATGGGGATGTTGGTGCTGCTACATCTGGTGTATATGGGGATGTTGGTGCTGCTACATCTGGTGTATATGGGGATGTTGGTGCTGCTACATCTGGTGTATATGGGGATGTTGGTGCTGCTACATCTGGTGTATATGGGGATGTTGGTTGTGTATATGGGGATGTTGGTGCTGCTACATCTGGTGTATATGGGGATGTTGGTGCTGCTACATCTGGTGTATATGGGGATGTTGGTGCTGCTACATCTGGTGTATATGGGGATGTTGGTGCTGCTACATCTGGTGTATATGGGGATGTTGGTGCTGCTACATCTGGTGTATATGGGGATGTTGGTGCTGCTACATCTGGTGTATATGGGGATGTTGGTGCTTGTGCAGCTTGTGTGTAGGGAAGCTGTTTGCTGCTACATCTGGTGTATGGTGATGCTGTTGCTGGTGCGCCTGGGTATGGTTATGGTGTTGCTGTTACACCTGGTGTGTCACAATATTGTTGTATCTGGCATACATGGTGTATGGTGAAGGTGTTGTTGAAGCAGGTATGTGTTCACAGTGTTGTGCTTTATGTATGGCCATTTTGTTGTTTATTGTGCACCTGATGTAATGTTACACTTTTGTTGTTGCACCTGGTGGATGCTGACGATGATGTTGCTGTTGCAGGTGGCCCCCAGGTGCGGTTCTCAATAGGGGCAGGTGATCGGCAGGCACTCCAGCCCCCTCTAAGTTCAACACTACCAGTAACAAAATCTAATGTTGCCCTCGTATTCGACCAGCTGGGTGAGTTCTCGGCTAACATATACAATATAGTAATTATCCCCCGCAGTGCGTTTAACGCGAAGCGGGGGATATAGTATTAGGCTCCGTCCGTCCGTCCGTCCAAATTGGAATATCTTAAGAACCGTTGACTAGATTCTTTTCATATTTGGTACCTAGGTTCATCACAGTATAAGAAAGGTCCCAGTCAGGTTTAGTGACCTTGACATAAATTTCAAGGTCACAAGGGGACTTTAACGTTTTACTCTTTTCAGCGAGATATCTCAAGAATTGTTCACTAGATTTTCTTCATATTCAACACCAAGCTTTATCTAGGGAAAGTGCAGGGCCCAGTAGATTTTGGTGACATAATTTTCAAGGTCACTGCGACACTTTAAAGATTTCAGCATGTTAAGCTGAATTAACTGGATTTTCTGCATAGACTTTCAAGACTTCCCTTGAATGTTTTTCAATAAGCAATTCCTTTAGTACCATTTTTGCATATTTCATACACTATGACATTCATGTCAAGGTCAAAGTCAGTCTTGATAATATTTGTGTGTTTGAACAACTAAAGAGGAAGATATCATGAGAGGTTGACTGGTCATGTTTTTGTTGACATTTAACTTCATCTTAAACTTTCATTTCTTTTTAAGTTTGATTTGATAATTTGCGGCAGGGGATTATGTCACCTTAGTGACAATGCTTCTTGTATTGATATTTGTCTTATGTGCATATATGATAAAGAGAGTCATAAAAATTAATTGTTCCTTTGAATTTTAAAGTCAACAATGCATATGTTAAATATGAGTACACCATTAACCTTTTGAAAGAACGGATAAAATTACATGTGTGTAGAAACACCCATCCAGAGTACTATTGGTTATAGAATTTGGACTTGATGTTCATAGTATTGTAGTAGGGTTGTAATTACCTTTTTGGTACTGACAATGAACCCCCCAAAAATAGCATTTGAAAATTGTTTTGTGGGGTTTCAGGGATCAACAACGCAATGACCGTTTTCACAGCAGCCTTGACCGACCACAAGATCCTGTTCCACTCATTCAGCTACTCTCGGCTCACAGCAACAGCCCATGCCTTTGTGTCTCTCATGTACCCACTCAGATATAGGTGAGTCTTGTACCCACTCAGATATAGGTGAGTCTTGTACCCACTCAGATATAGGTGAGTTTTGTACCCACTCAGATATAGGTGAGTCTTGTACCCTCAGATATAGGTGAGTCTTGTACCCACTCAGATATAGGTGAGTTTTAGTACCCACTCAGATATAGGTGAGTCTTGGTGAACCCCTCAGATATAGGTGAGTCTTGAGTCAGATATGTACCCCACTCAGATATAGGTGAGTCTTGTACCCACTCAGATATAGGTGAGTCTTGTACCACTCAGATATAGGTGAGTCTTGTACCCACTCAGATATAGGTGAGTCTTGTACCACTCAGATATAGGTGAGTCTTGTACCCACTCAGATATAGGTGAGTCTTGTACCCACTCAGATATAGGTGAGTCTTGTACCCACTCAGATATAGGTGAGTCTTGTACCACTCAGATATAGGTGAGTCTTGTACCCTCAGATATAGGTGAGTCTTGTACCACTCAGATATAGGTGAGTCTTGTACCCACTCAGATATAGGTGAGTCTTGTACCCACTCAGATGTAGGTGAGCCTTGTACCCACTCAGATATAGGTGAGTCTTGTACCCTCTCAGATATAGGTGAGTCTTGTACCCGCTCAGATATAGGTGAGTCTTGTACCCTCTCAGATATAGGTGAGTCTTGTACCACTCAGATATAGGTGAGTCTTGTACCCACTCAGATATAGGTGAGTCTTGTAACCCCTCAGATATAGGTGAGTCTTGTACCCACTCAGATATAGGTGAGTCTTGTACCACTCAGATATAGGTGAGTCTTGTACCCACTCAGATATAGGTGAGTCTTGTACCCTCTCAGATATAGGTGAGTCTTGTACCACTCAGATATAGGTGAGCATTCCACAGATCCTTGTTGTTTTCTCTGCAGTATTTTCACCTAATATTATATTGACTTACATCCTTAATGTCAAGTGTTGTTAAATGTCAAGTCCAGTGAATGTAACAGTGCAGCCCTTGTTTGACGATGCGGCCTTTGTGTTTCAGCTATGTGTACATCCCCATCCTCCCAGTGTCCCTGCTGGAGGTGCTCAACACACCCACTCCTTTCATTGCGGGTGTACACTCATCCCTGCGCAATGACGTCGTTGATTTGGTAGGTCACGTACGTATCCATTTGCTGCCTCTGTGACGATCCCTGGGTCGCATGCTTTGCTGCCTTCCACTGGTATGTTTCTAGAAGAGTTGGTGCCTAGTCAGCAGCATCACATCATCCTGAACACCAGAGACATCCACTTACTATTCCTACCGTTCATAGGCATTTGGGTAGCCACATGTTTAAAGCATTGTCTCGTATTACTAAAGGAAGCTGCTTGATATTCACATCTGAGAAATATTTATGATCAGTTTGAAGCATTGAAATGGCCAAGTATGTTGAGAGTTATCTTGTATCATAGAAGAAATCCACTCGTTACTGACTTCTGTGAAATATTGATAATCAGGTTTAGTTTAAACATATTTTATTCACAAAGTGAAAAGGATCAGCGACAACTTCTTACAACATACAACTCTCCAAAGATATTTACACTAACAGATTCCAGCACAAGCAATGATTAGAAACCAACACAGAGAAAGATTAACAGTTACGGGAAATATTATAATACAAAAGGTACAGAGAAAGAACACTATTGAGTTTGAAGTGTTGGACTAACCAAGAGTTTAAAACATCAGTTCATACACTAATGACACAAAATATTGACGCTGGAAGTGGACTAAATCCACACAGAGGCCCAGGCCTGGTGACTGATGCTTTAACACATCAAACCCAACACTAGGGTTGTGTTGCCAACACGATCATGTCCAGTCAGTTTTAGTTCCCTCTGTGATATTGCTGGAAAAGGCAACCTCACTCACACACTCCTTCATCAGCATGTGACTTGATAACATTCAATATGTAGGCTGATCTCTCACTAACTCTCCTACGTATAATATAGGGGTTCTCTACATATCTATATCAATCAATAAATGACAACAGTTTCATTAATCCCCTTTTTCAAATGTTGTTCATATGACATGGTAATCTAATTAATGGATTTATTTTATCTTGACTTTTTCTTCATTCCCAATGATTTTTTTTAAAGTGTTATCTAATGTCATTTGTAATGTTATCAAGATTATTTGCACTCCACTTCTTCATTACACTGATGTCTCCTGACTTTACAAATCTTCTGATTATGAACACCCTAGTTTTGATGAGTTCTCTTTCATGACTTGTTGCTACATTTACTTTGCGGCTTCAGTATTGGTCAGTGCACTTGCGTACTGGATGCTGTGTTGAGGCGTGCATGATTACACCACTTGATCAAGGAATGAATCGTTGCTTCTTTTGGAGCTGAGAACATTTCCACTCACTGAATGACAATATTGCTCCTTTGTTTTAGGACAACTAATATGTTGTGTCATTATGTAGAGGTTTTGTTTTGACATGTACAATCTCATTATAATCAGACATTTTACCTCTCTACCTGAAGATATTAGATCTCCTCAGTTGGATCTCCTACCTGATTATCCCTGAGCTTGCTTTACTGCCCATTCTTTTTCATGAGAGTGCTCCTTGGGCTACATATAAGCATTAAAATGTCCATTTTTAATCCCTATGACAGTTGTAACTATATTTTGAATAAAGTATTTACAAAACATAAAACAACGTTTTTGTCTTGTTCGACCACCCCTACGGACCCCAGAATGGACTCGTCCGCCAAGAACAGGTAACTCTAGGCGCTAACCTCGTACCTCACTTTCCATGCTGTCGTTTGTCTGTATCGACGTTTGTGTCCTTCAGCTTACAAGTTGATTTCTCCCTTACGATTGACAAGATGAGTTCTTCAGAAACAGCTACTGTATGTATGGTTATCTCTTATTCGCGTGGGCGATAATTGATAAATGTTTATGAAAGTTTTCATTCATCATTTGTTGTAACTTTCATCTTAGTCCCTGTCGGCTTGCCATGTGCTTGTCAAGATGGCGGACGGGAGGCGCATACACGCTTGCCTGTTCAGATTAGCCTGTAGCTTTCTTGTCTAGGTTTGTGTGTTGTCTTACTGAATTTGCAGATATTTTATCTCTTTTCAGGTGGATTAATTATATTACATGATTTGCTCTAAATAATTGTATTGTCGTCATATACTGTAATCGTATATATTTTTTAGGGGTGCAATTTGTGCGGAAAGTTCACCAAAGACCTGTTAGCGCAGTTGTTTTTTCGCGCATTTCAAACACCTGAGTGATGGTATCCATCACAAAGTTTTCACAACCAATAGACATGCAGTGATCAAAGCTAGCCGCTATAATTGAATCATGTTTACTAAAACAATCAGAGAGAAAGGTGGGATTATACTTGTGTCAACATGTCAACATCTGTCCCATATGCGAGATTAACTGACAACAAATTAAGGAAGAGTGTATACCAGTACTTACAATAATTAAACATAGAAATCATAAAGTAGTGTTTGTTGTTTATGAACACGTGTTGTTCACATGGTCAAATCACTGATTGGCTGCATTAAACAAATTGCATGTTGTTCCTACTTGTGTATTTGTCTGAATTTTGTCATGACTTGACCATGAATATTTCGCTTGGTAAGATTATTGACGCACAATCTTTTTGCTCTAAAAGCACGAAAATTAATCCCACGCGAAAATAACTACAATTACAGTATTTTGCTTTACGGGTTCCATGTTATGAAGTGGGCTAGAATGCACTAGTTCTTATTTAAGTACAGTCTATATGCTAGTATGGGTACCTCGTTAGGATGAGAAAGCCAAACTAACTCGGTGCACCTAGTGGCTGCAAGAGTTGCATACTCCCCAGGGAGTTGAGATTGATAATACGATGTGAAGTTGAGATTGACATCCAATGATCGAGGGAACAACTACCAGCGCCTTGAGCATGCACTAGTTGCCTGGATATGTGCACTATATAAATATCCAATAATAAAATGGTTAATATTTATATTTATTAATCGCCCATGCGTATTATTTGGTTACAATTTATACGTTCTCTGTCAGACTTGCCGTTTGTTGCAGTTTAAAGCCTGCGCTATGTGCAAGTCATCTTTCCCCATAAAGGATGGTCATGCTTCGTGTCTAAGATGTCTAGTGGAGGCTTCGCACGATTCGTCGGGGTGTGTTTCCTGCCAGGCGTTTTCACCCAAGACCCAAAAGTCGAGACATGCCGACTATTTGTTTTTCTCCAATCTCATGCGGGCGAGGGGTGATATCTGGGGTCAGGACCCCCCTTCCAAGAGATCACATAAGAAAAAATCTTCCACTAGCTCAGCACCACCGGCGGAGTCGAGGGCGAAGAAAGCTAGGGTCTCTAAGCAGTCGTCACCTGTTCCCTCCACCTCAAACACCCACGCACCCCCTGCTGCTGCTGCCTTAAATATTGATTCAATTGCTTCATTATTTCAGCAACAAATGCAGCAGCAGATGACTAATGTGAAGTTAATGATTGATAGTGCGATGTCCGGGCTCCGTTAGGAGCTCGGTTCGCAACGTGTAAATCTCGATGGTCCAGTTGTCTCTGCTGGGGACGGTGGTGTCCCGGGCTCAGGCCCGGTGAGCGCACCTATCCCTGGGCAACCTACCCCGAGTCTCAGCTCAGGGGATTGTCTGTCTGCTGTTCCTTGTGCCGACCCGGGCTCCGGCTCCGGTAGGGCGCAGGATTCGTCTGCCGCCGATGGGCACCTGAGCATACCTTGGCAACCAGGTCCCTCGGTGCCCAGAGGCTCGGCTGGGCACACTGGGCAGCCTGCTTCGGCAGTTCCTACCTTGTTGCGCCAGCCCCGCGGCTCGGGTCCGAGGGGGGGACAGGGCGATCTGAACCCTCTGGTTCTGATCTCTTCCTTGAGCCCTTTTCCCTGGGGCATTGAAAGTAGTGCACGAGGCCTCTAAGCCCCAACTAGAGCAACTCCTCACATCTCGCACGAGGCCTGCGCCTCCTGCTACTTCGTATCCTTCTGCGTTGGCGAAGGAGCCTGCAAAGTGGACTGCTCCACTGCAGGTTAAGACCAGGAGGCACGAGGCAAGGGAAAGGCTGCAGCTGCGCAGCAGTCTTTTCGGGGAAAGGGGAAGCCAGCCCCGGCTTCCTGTTAAATCTCCCTCGGACGCCCTTGTTGCCTCCCACACACGCAAGGAGAGACTTGCCAACTGTGGGAGTGCACTGCCTCATGCCACACGTCCGTGTAAGCGGCCAGCTTACACTCTTCCTCACGGAATGGGTGAAAGCCACACTCAGGGATGGCCATATGCCACAGTGGAAGCAAGGTCCGCCACCATTCACCGGGGTGCGGCACACTCCTGTGCCCATCACCCGGGAAAAAGCGAGTATTCTCTGTGCCGAGGTCCAGTCTCTACTGGACAAAGCAGCCATAGAACCAAGAACAATGTGACCAAGAACGACGAAGGGTTCAGACCCATACTCAATCTAAAAGGGCTGAACAAAATGATAGAAGTGCCGTCTTTCAGGATGGAGACACTGCGCTCATTGATCTCCTCCGTCCAGAGACGGGATTGGCTCACATCAATCGATCTCAGACGCTTACCTACATGTACCAATGCACCCCGACTTCAAGAAGTACCTGAGGTTCTCCTTCGATGGGAAATGCTACCAGTTTCGTGTGCTCCCCTTTGCATCTCCACGGTGCCAAGGGTGTTCACCAAACTCATGTTAATCCCAGCTCAGTAGGCAGGTCGTAAGTAGCCAGTAAGTGAGCTGTTCCTTTTTCTTTTCATAGTTGGGAAATTCCACTTGTCGGGGGCGTAGTTTATCAGACAGAATACCACTCCCAGGACTCTTTGTCTTTAGGAGTCTGTCTTATGCTTATATGTACCCCAAGGAGGATCTCTCATGAAAAAGAATCGGACAAACCTGTAGAGGTTGCTGATTCTTTGATGAGAGTCCTCCTTGGGGTACGGCCACCCACCTCCCCACATACTGTCTGATACGTTCAGCATGGAAAGTGAGGTACGAGGTTAGCGCCTAGAGTTACCTGTTCTTGGCGGACGGGTCCATTCTGGGGTCCGTAGGGGTGGTCGAACAAGACAAAAACGTTGTTTTTTGTTTTGTAAATATTTTATTCAAAATATAGTTACAACTGTCGTAGGGATTAAAAATGGACATTTTTATGCTTATATGTACCCCAAGGAGCACACTCATCAAAGAATCAGGAACTTCTACAGGTTTGTTCGAATTTAAATGAAGGATGTTTGGCTTTTTTTTAAAGAAATATGTTGTCAGCTTCCAAAATCATGTATTCTTCATTTCTTTACCACTTCAGGTTGGAAAATTGGATTTGTTCAAAAGAAAATCCACTCAATGTTAGCATTTTAGCTCAGTTTCATATTTGCAGAACTCAGACATAAAGAGTGTCTGAATACCAAGAATTTAAAATCCTTGAATCTGATAATGGGATTAGAATGTTCACGGCCACAACTTTGTGATTTCTCGGCAGCTCGTATTCATAGACATGTCACATCAAGGTATCTGACACTAATGAGATTGTATATTCCTTTGCTTTGTAGTAAGTTCGTAAATGCTTATCCTTGGTTATCAAGTGTATTGTCTCCATCATATTATCAAAATACTGGGGATTATGACACAAATCTTCATTTAAATGTGGTCCACGTAAAATGACCCTAAAAATATCTTTCTTGAGAATTACCCACTTCTTTCACAACTGAAATGTGAAACAATATGAGGTAGTATTTTGTGTTATTGTTCTTCACAATACTGATCACTTATCTTGTATGTTTACAGCTGGATGTGATAATTGTTGACTTGGATGGAGGCAGTGTGAGGATTCCTGAATGTGTCAACATCCCCAGCATCCCAGATCCCATCATGAATCGGTCCATGAGAGCTTTAACCATGGTGAGTATTCATTTCTCTCTCATCCGATAGAAAGAGATTTTACAAGGATGAGTTCCCTTTAAACTATCTCTCTGATCCCATACTGATCAGGTCCATGAGATACCAATTGCTAGATTGTCTGACCCAGACTGAAACACCTTTACTATAGCTCATTGTTCCCTATCGCAACGCAGAACGGGGGCCTATGTATTCAATAGGGTCCGTACGTACGTCCCAATTCATGTTAACGCGATATCGTCAGGAACTGTTTTACCCAGTGTCTTCAAATTCGGTGACAGCCTATATTGGGGAATTATGCTGACACCAGTAAATTTCGGTGACCTTGTTTTCAAAAGGCAATCAAAGTGACCAAAAGATAAAAACTAGTAAATATGTTATATTTCATTCTTCTTCAGCCTTGGGGGACATTGCCATGTTAGTGGCAAGCACTTGTTGTTACTGTATTGTCACTCTTCTGATGTTAGTAATCTTCTCCATGTTGTAGATTCAAAATACGGAATTACTGAGCGCTGACTATGCATTTCCTCCATCACCACGGAAACCCTCCCCTGCTACACAGAGAGTAAGTATCTTCTGTTTACACAAGTTTACACAACAACACTGTTTACAGGCTGTTGTAATTTGTACTGACATAGTTATACACAAGTCAACAGAGTTGTACTTATTACTGACACAGTTGTACACAAGTCAACAGAGTTGTACTTTGTATTGACACAGTTGTACACAAGTCAACAGAGTTGTATTTTGTATTGACACAGTTGTACACAAGTCAACAGAGTTGTACTTTGTTGTTTCTTCATTGTACACAAATTGACAGAAGTTGTCCTTTGTTTTCTACACAGTTGTAGAAAATGTCAACAGAGAGTTGTACTTTGTACTGACACAGTTGTACACAAGTCATCAGAGATATGGTACTTTGTAACTCCCACACCTTAACATACACAATGACTGTCAACAGAGGTGTTGTAACTTTGTTGTTAGTTCATTATTTGATTCTTGACAGAAGAATTCCATGATTTTCTATGAAGTGAAGAAAAGGACATGTATATACAACATCAACATAGACTAATGATACAAGGTGATTGTAACTCCTCCCATACCTTAACATAGACTAACGACTACCTAAGGTGATGTAGTTCCCATATAACATAGACTGATCTGTAGGGCTAAGGTGATTGTAACTCCCATACCTTAACATAGACTAATGACTGTCTCCCATAGCTTAACATAGACTAATGACTGCCAAGGTGATTGTAACTCCCATACCTTAAACATAGACTAATGACTGCCATAGCACTAAGGTGATTGTAACACCATGGTTCCCATACCTTAACATAGACTAATGACTGTCAGTATACATTGTTCTCCCATACCTTAACATAGACTAATGACTTTCACTAAGGTGATTGTAACTCCCATACCTTATGGACTAACGGCTGTCATAGCTTAAGATGATCAACTCCCATACCTTATAGATAAGACTGTCATAGCACTAAGGTGATTGTAACTCCCATAGCTTAACATGGACTAACGGCTGTCATAGCTTAAGATGATCGCAGAACTCCCATACCTTAACATAGACTATGTCATAGCTCTAAGGTGATTGTAACTCCCATACCTTAACATGGACTAACGGCTGTCATAGCGCTAAGATGATCGTAACTCCCATACCTTAACATGGACTAACGACTGTCATAGCACTAAGGTTGTTTTGTACAACAGCACCATGGTTCCTAAATATAAGTAGTAACCTTTTTACCTTTCTTTCTACAATATTTCATCCAGATTTTATTATGAAAAGCTTTAGCGATTCTTGATCAGTGAATTGTTGAGTTGTACAAGTTGTACAAGTTGACCTTCCTAGTACTTACTGCACCTAGAGCAGTGACCCATAATGGCAACTATTATATGACAGTTTATTCTGTTCAAATCTAACCCACTCTCTGCCTTCAGGACAAGGAGATCCGGGCTGTGTTCATCCGCATGTTTGCAGATATCTTCACTGGTTATCGTTCTTGTCTCACCATCATCCGTATCCATCCTGAACCTTTCATCACGTTTCATAAGGTAAACCACAATCCTGTGCCTGCTCTTGTAGTCAGACCCTGTGTCTGTGTCGGGGGTGGTAGGACTTTCATAAAAAAAGACATTTCCTCAGTATGTTCAGAAACAAATTTATTGTTTCATTCTTCTCAAGAGTTTGGTTTGAAAGTAGGTGATAAAATTAAAAAAAATGACAGTGTGGCATTTGTTCTGTGTTGATGATTTGTCTTGGGAAGAAATTCTGTTTTTGTTCCCTGGGTTATTTTGTCAAAGTAAAAGTTTCATAAAAATTGTCATTCTGAATATGTTTTGTTCTGAATTTTTTAGATTTCTGTAAACGAAGGGCTTAGCCATTGCTAATCCCTGGGGTATTATTTAGTGGCAGAATAGATCCAAAGTATCCAGTGTTTGCTGTAGTTGATAAATGAAGATCGGATAATTAGTATGCTTGACTAGTTACTTGGGTGTCATGGTACACTAGAAATTTTGTATATACTATCCACCGCTATTCGTTTAAATTCGTTCTGTACTACATGTCTGTATAGTCCAACAAGCCTGGCACCGGTCATCTGATCAGGTGTTGCTTGTGTAGGTGGTTGGATACTGTAGCCACCCTCAGTGAGTTGGTTGTACTCTGAAGGCATTGCACAGTCTTCATGATGTCAGACACTGGTCAGGTGCCATTATTTAAAGACCAGCATTGTACAGTCGGATTATTGATGACTATTAAACCCCTAACAAATGTTTGATGCACATTGAAAACGTATTGTGTTTTTCAGGCCAGTTTTTTAGGTCAGCGAGGTATGGTTGATGATGATTTCATCCTGCGTGTGCTGGACGGGATGGGCTTCGGTGCATTCGTGGCCGAGAGGGGTCCACCCTACAGAGTCTGTGATATTTTTGATGAGGTACGTCCGGAATTATTTTGTTGAAAACATGTTATTTCCGACACATTAAAACGTTACAGAGAGAGATGGACAATCTGAAATGCTGCACTTTGTCAGTACAAGGGGTTGTCAAGAAACTTGAAGGATTGTGGTTCATGGAACCTGTTGTTAATGTTTTTCTTTTTTCCCAAGTGTAATAATCCTGATGTGTTTGTGTAGGTGTATGCAACTATGCAAGACCACCTGCGGGAAGAGCGGATTAACCCTGACAAGATGATGGAGCATGTGAAGGATCTGGCTCACCAGCTGCATCTCAATGTAAGATTTGTGGCTTTGTCACTTCTTTAGTGTATACACCCATCCTCAATCCATCCCTATCACTGTCCTCACATGCAAGCTATCTCCACCCCCTTCCTCAACCCTCCCTCAACCCATACCCAACCTATCCTAATCAGATCCGTGAAGATCCGAATAGAATAGGTCTTCAGCAACCCATGCTTGCCACAAAGGCGACTATGCATGCTTGTCGAGGAGGCTTAACTAACGGGATCGGGTGGTCAGGCTCGCTGACTTGGTTGACACATGTCATCGGTTCCCAATTGCGCAGATCGATGCTCATCTGTTGATCCCCCATCCTCACCCATCCCAGTCCTAACCACCTTCCTCACCCCCCATCCTCACCCATCCCAGTCCTAAGCCCCATCGTAAACCCATCACCACCCCTATCCTAGTCAACCCATGCTTACTCCATCATCACCCACCACCCTCACCCCTTTCCTCACCCATCCCAGTATTAACCCCCCCTATCCTCACACCCATCCTCACCCCCATCATCACCCCCCATCATCACCCATCCCAGTCCTCACCCCCATCCTAAACCCATCCTCACCCATCATCACCCATCCTCACCCATCATCACCCATCCCAGTCCTAACCCCCATCCTCACCCATCCTCACCCATCCCAGTCACCCACCCCCATCCCATCCCAGTCACCCCATCCTCACCCATCCTCACCCCCATCCTCACCCATCCTCACCCATCCCAGTCCTAACCCCCATCCTAGCCCTAGCCTCCATTCTCAACCCATCGTAGTCCTAATCACCATCCTCAACCCCTCCCCACCCCTATCGTAATCCCCATGCTCACCCTATTAACACCCCATGCTTACCCCAGCCCCCTGTATAGAGGGTACCACATGTGATGCCCATCTTGTGTAATCCCTTCTTTTGATAGGACTAAAATGTTGCAAGAAGCAGTATAACACTCAATAATAATAATTATCATAAGTCATCTTCTATAGCGCACAGTGTCCAAACACCAAGTGATTGCTTGCGGTGCTTTATCAGAATCTGATTATTATTACCCCGGATAACCCAAGCTGCCTGTAAGGCGCTAGAAGGTTATAGTCACATGACTTTTTCCAACCGGGTACCCATTTTCTGCTGGGTGAACAGTTTTGCAATTTTGAACAAACCCACTTGCCTGAGGTGAGACCACATGTATGACATGTGCTTCATTGTGGGGCAGGACTGAAGTCCTAGAAACTCTCAGGAGTCAAGCTGCCAAACACGGTCACCCATCCAAGGACTGTCCGAGCTCGACGTTGCTTAACTTCAACTGATTTGTGACCTGAGCTGTACGCACAGGACCACACACTGCCACTCAACCCACCACCTCACCTCTGGAATTTATATCCTTGTGTACTCAAACCCCCTCTTGTTATGTTAAAGTCGAGGAGTTATGATATCTTAGCAGATGCTTTTTATAGATTGCTTTTTTTTGTCAAGTAATCTGTTTTGTGCTGTGTGTAATCATGTGTCCATGTTCCTGATGCAGGAGAACCCCAACCCCCAGCCGTATGTCCAGAAGGTGCCCAAGCCAACAGAAGGAGCATACGCCCGCATCCACCAGCCTCCATTCCAGACCCTCAACGCCAACACAGTGCACGACATCATCGACGAGGGCCTTGCCAAGCACAGTATTAAGTCCAAGTAAGTGCTCTGTACCATGGTTTTGAGGTGGTAATGCCCAATAAGGCAATAAATGTTTCTATCTTCTTCCTGCCATTATTTGGGTTTCAATCCTGAGGATTTAATGCAACACACAAATGTAGAAAATTGATTTTGAAAACCTAAAATACCGCATCCATAGAGACACACAAAAATACAAAGAGCACATGAAGAGGAGTTACATGTCCACGTGATCACTGAAATAATTATCTGAATGTACACTACACTACACCATTTTAGTACTTTGCAGGACCCTCATATTTCCAACAAGGACCCATAAAATTTGCTGATGGGGTCCATTGGACCCCCACTTTTGTAAGTCAAGGTAAAACCCTAAATCTCTGATCGACTCTGACGATGATCCTTGGTTTATCACAAATCAAACACATCTATACTCATGGGTTTCGGCAAAGTATGAAACATCTGAAACTGGCATCACTGCTAGTTTTCCTCCCCATTTTGCTAACCCATGCATGTCATAATGTAACTGAAATACAGCTCAAAGTGACATAAAGCACAACTCACTCACCCCACATTTGTCTTGCAGGTTGGCCAACGTTCGTCCACACCAGTGTAGGATTGTGCCGATGGGCATGCCAATCACAGCTCTAGCGGACAAGCAGCGGATGGTGGAGAACAATGCACGCAGGCTGGAGGTGCTCAGGAACTGTGTCAACTTCATCTTCGAAAACAAGATCTCAGATGCTAGAATTGTAAGTTCTTTTTCAGAAGAGGTTCCCCTTGGGATACTTACAAGCATTTTTATGTCCATTAAATTGAAAGTTTCTATGATAACAAAAGTCAATCATTTATAATAGATTTAGATGTCTCAGTATCTTGTGGTTAAAAAGTTGATTGTTATGCCAGTGTTTGTATTGGATTCCCAATGAGTGAGTGAGCTTTGTTTTATGCCGCACTCAGGCGGTCGGTCTGTAAATAATCGAGTCTGGACCAGACAATCCAGGGATCAACAGCATGAACATTGATCTACACGATTGGGATACAATGACATGTGTCAACCCAGTCAGCGAGCCTGACCACCCAATCCCTTTAGTCGCCTCTTACGACAAGCATGGGTTACTGAAGATCAATTCTAACCTGGACCTTTTCACGTTTTGGATTCCCAATGAGGGATGTGAAGTCCACCCCAGGAGTCCTACTTACTCAACCAAGGGTTCAGTGTTAAGCTCAGTGTTCACAATTAACCATGCATGTCAAGAGCTCCCTGTCAGATTTAGGAAGCCCCCAAATCCAAAATCCATTAGAGAGCACCCCATATACATAAGGGCCGATTTTAATTTTGAAAACTGCTATATCAAATTCTTCTGTTAGTTTTTATTATCTTACTGAAAACAAAAATGACAGAAGAATCCATACAAAGCCCAGGAAACAGGTGTGTGACAGGTTGAATAAACATCAAATTCCTGGATCCCACTTTTCTGCTGCAGATATTCCCGGCAGTGTTGCGAGCATTGAAGAGTCGCGTAGCACGGCTGGCACTGACACAGGAGTTGAACTACCACGTGCAGTCTAACCGGGCCATGTTGGAGAATCAGCAGTTCGACCTGGTTGTTAAGCTTCTGAACTGTGCTCTACAGAACGACACAAACCTGGACGAGAGTGGAGTAGCCGCTGCCATGGTGCCGCTTGTTACAGCCTTCTGTCGAGTAAGTATGACCGCTTATATCAGTCCCAGGAAGACAACAGATTTACTTTTGAAATACTACTCACAGACTAGTCTTCTGATCATAACACCTGTGGCCATGAGACACTGCAGAGTTGCATCCCTATGGTGTGCCAGGTGCCTGGAATCCACGTTCACACCTGATTTCGTTTGTAAAGTGATGATCATCTAAGGTGTGCATCACTTGGGGCTTGACTCCCAAGTGAAGCTGATACTGTTACTGAAATACTGTTGAAAGTGATGTTTAACCAAACTCATTCTGAAAATGTTAGTCCCTGATCCCTCCATATACTGGAACATTGGTGACTGTAGTGTGTTTTTTCTCCAGAAACTGTGTACGGGAGTGCTGCAGTTCGCCTACACTTGTGTGCAGGACCATGCAGTGTGGGCAAACCTACAGTTCTGGGAGCAGGCCTTCTACCAGGACGTACAGAAGCAGATCCGACAGCTGTACCTACCACAGTACGAGGAGCACCTGGTGGTCAATGTCAGTCGGGAGGGGTCCCGCAGTCCCTCGACACCCAGAGAGGTATAACACCTTAAGGGATTATATGGCTATATGGTGCCAATTTCATGCCAGCTCAGATATTGTAATATGTGCTTTGTGTGGAACTCCCATGTTATAACTGTGGAAGAATCATCAGCTGCTAGATTAATATTCATTTCAGTTCAGAGGTTTTTTACTGTTAATGTGTTTTTATATTGCTGTTTCCTTCTTGTTTGAATGACAGAGTGGGGACTCACTGAGCAGTTGGAGCAGATCGTCATCAACAACTTCAGACTCTCGGCGGTCTGGTGCCACGTACAAGACACGGGAGATTGGAGCGCTGGAGATAGCAGCAGAACAGGTAGAGCTTAGGGCTAGAGACTGAGATTGGCTGGGTTTAGAATAGAATTGTAGTGTTTTATGCTGGACCTATCACAGAGTTGACTGAACTAATCGTATGGACTGGGATTGTCTGGATTTAGAATAGTACTGTTGTATCTTGCAGTGGACACGATCCCAGAGTTGAGTGAACTAACGGTAGGGTCAAGGGGTAGAGACTGGGATTGGCTGGATTTAGAATAGTACTGTAGTATCTTGTGGTGGACTTCCAGCGTTGAAAGAAATGGAGGTCGGGTTGTTACCATGTGGGATCTGGTAACATAACACAACTCTCTCAATCCATCTTCCATCACAGGGTACCAGATATTATAGTGCCATAAAGTAGGAATATTTTTGACTGCGGTGGAAGAAAACATTCAATCAATCACTCACTCACTCAACCCATAATAGTTATAAGTGAATTTTGACAGTTCAACATTGACTGCAGAGAGTGACTATGCACAACTAACAGTGACTATACACTGTGTACTATGTGTTACAGCTGCGTATCTACACAACCCTGAACAAGATGACCCAGCAGGAGCTGATCAATAATGAGGAGTCGACAGTGTACAGCCAGGCTATCCACTACGCCAACAGGATGGTGTTCCTGCGAGTGCCGCTCGACGTCAGTCGGTCGCTGAAGAACACCCAGGGCCTGGACGGCGAGAGCAACAGCAATAGCAACATCACAGCCAGGTCAGTGTCACTGCAGTAACGAAGGAAGGAATGTAACTCATCCCATGCTTGTGACATCTCATTGCATGGAAACTTTGTTACTCTGATACATTTTGATGAAAAATTATTAATGGATTATTTACATTTGTTACTCCGAAAGACTCACAATTCATTGTCAGTGGTACCTCCCAAATGAATATGTGTTCATTTTACATGTCTATTGTAATACAGACGCTATTCAGTACAGATGTTTTGTAGGGCCGGTGGGGTAGCCTAATGGTTAAAGTGTTGGCTCGTCATGCCGAAGACCCGGGTTCGAATCCCCACATGGGCACAATGTGTGAAGCCCATTTCTGGTGTCCCCCGCCGTGATGTTGCTCGAATATTGCTAAAAGCGGCGTAAAACCAAACTCAGTCAGACAGATGTTTTGTGCTGTTACGGCCGCCCAACCATGATGTAGCAGTTAGAGTGGTATGAAGGTTGTGTCCTATCAAAAGACGTTAAAATATGTACTTGTTGGTCCCTGCCTGGCGCGCTCAGCATTAATGGGTACAACAAGGACTGGTCGGCTCAGCAGTGTGATGTGTCTGAGTGGGTTATTCATGCTTAACTGCGGCATGGTTTCTCAATGAGCTAGCACTATAAAACCAGCTCAAGTCTGGGATAGTACAAGCTGCCATATATACACACGGATGCACATCGTCATATGAGCAAAATATTCTTAAGTGCGATGTTAAACCCCATTTCACCTCTCTTTGTGCTGTTACGTAAGAACATACTGGTGTGTGTTTGTGATTGTTTCTGTGTTTGTGTTCAGTATTGCTGAGAGTGACAGTTTTGATGCCGAGAGTGGGTTTGATGAGACCGAGACAGTAGACGTGGGCTCCACAGTTGTGAGGTTCGTGACGAGGTTTGTGGACAAAGTCTGCGCAGAGGGAGGTGTCACACAGGAACACATCAAGTCCCTGCATCAAATGGTTCCAGGTGAGTCACAGGTGGCACATGAAGTCCCATCGTCAAATGGTTCAAAGTGATTTAATTTCCCAGATGGAGTATAAACAAAGAGAATACACTCTCAGACTAACATCTATATTTTGGTTGAAAATTTGGCCTATTTTGAAACAAATTTCAGTGCAATAACTTTGATAAATTTCTCTATTCTCATGTTGGTTTCTGTGTTGATATTACAGTTAGTGTCAGAATGAATGAGTGGAGACTTTCTTTCTAATGTTAATCTGGCAAGTGTAGTAAATGAGCCGACAGTCCTAGATGAGATGGACTGAATGTAAGTATCTTTCAGGATCAGCTACTCAAATATAGCAGGTACTTTCAAGCTTCAGTATTTCCTGGCCATCAGGAGCGGTGGTGTAGCCTAGTGGTTAAAGTGTTGGCTCGTCATGCCGAAAACCCGGGTTCGAATCCCTACATGGGTAAAATGTGTGAAGCCCATTTCTGGTGTCCCCTGCCGTGATGTTGCTGGAATATTGCTAAAAGCGACGTAAAACTAAACTCAGTCAGTCAGTCCTGGCCATCATACTAGTCAAGTTATGTAAAAAGTTACACATTGACAGTGGTCTTTAGTGTCTAAACCAGGAGTGATCCCTGCAAGTTGACATGTGGTTGTCTCCCCTTAGGTGTGGTGGCCATGCATATAGAGACCCTGGAGAATGTCCACAAGGAGAGCAAGAGGCTGCCACCAATACAGAAGGTGAGAGTTATGTCCCCTAGATGGCAGGATCTGCTCATCTTTTTCTTTGAATGTCATATTTGCCCACTTATGATCATTGTCAATATCAGACCATAAGAGAAGTGAAAGAATGCATTGATTCCTACAAGGGAGAGTTGTGAGGCCTTATATGCCTGGATCTGCTGATCCTTTGTACAGTGTGCACAGGATGTGTGATATGTGCTGATGTGATATATTCAGTTATCACCTGACCTGTGTATGATACTGCTGAGTGTACACTATGTAGTACGTGTGATCCTCTATGCTGTATTTTCTATATTCTCCAGCCGAAGATCCTCACTCCATCTCTACTCCCGGGAGAGGAGGTTGTGATGGAGGGGCTGCGCGTGTATCTTCTGCCAGACGGGCGTGAGGAGGGGCTTGGGGCATACATGGGAGGACCCACTCTACTGCCAGCAGAGGGCGCTGTTTTCCTCACCACCTACAGGATCATCTTCAAGGGCACACCATGTGATCCTCTGTGTAAGTTGTACCCTGTAGCTGGGAGAATGTTGATACTGTTCTATGAACCACTCTCATATTATATCCTAGCCCAGATTATTTTTTTGTAAAGTAAGGACCAGTTGTTCTCTGCACTGAATTTCTGCACCTTTGGCACTGTAGCGTAAAGTATGCACTCTTGATATACAACTCTAATGGTATCAATTGTTGTTTCAGCATGTGAGCAGATCGTGATCCGGTCATTCCCGGTGGCCACTTTAACGAAGGAGAAGAAGATCAGTGTTCAGTACCTGCCTCACCTAGACCAGTGGCTGCAGGAAGGACTTCAGCTCAGGTCCAATGTGTTCCAGGTGTGTAGTTGTAGTTGTAGTCCTGGAATGCAGTTGTAGTTGTTGTCCATTATGTTCCTGATATGCAGAGGCAGTTATAGTTGTAGTCAGATGTGTTCCAGGTAACGCAGTCACAGTCTATGTGACTGTCTTGACTGGCCAGGGGAATATATTCAGTAATACTGCTGTCACTATAGAATAGTCATGGTAATGTGTGATATTACATGCTGATCTTGATGACTAAGATGGTGGTGATGGCATAGATGATGATGAATCTTACATAAGGGTGATGTGGTAGCCTAATGGTTAAAGCGTTGGCTCGTTACGCCGAAGACCCGGGTTCGAATCCCCACATTGGCACAATGTGTGAAGCCCATTTCTGGTGTCCCCCCGCCGTGATGTTGCTGGAATATTGCTAAAAGCGGCGTAAAACCAAACTCAGTCAGTCAGTCCTGGTAAAAATTGAAGTTACTGCTTCATAGGGAAGTGTGATTTGAATTCCTATTTGTAACTATGTGCACATAACTGTTTTTGAACTGTGGAACAATTGTATGTGAATGATTAACTTGATGCATATATTGCATCTTGCAGTTGCTGAAGATTGCATTTGATGAGGAGGTTGGGTCCGATAATGTCGAGACTTTCAGGAAGCTGGTGATTAAGATCCGCAATCCACCAAGTGTGTTCAACACCTTTGCGTTCACTGGTCACATGATCCAGCAGGCCACCCCTCTACGTAAACAGAAGGAGAAGAACGCCTCACTCAGGTAACGCTCATGGTCTTCACATCCCTTGTCCCCTTATTGGGGCAACATCTGTGTCCCATCTTGTGACAGAAGGGAATTGGGTGATCACATTGTAATAGGATAATACTTGATGTGGTTGGGCCACAGTGTTCCTGATCCAGGTCAGTGTGCATTCTTCAAAGAATTGTTGGTACTGCATATGAAAAGGTGTTATTACTTGACTGTGTAACAGGTTGATAGCACCTCACTATTCTGTCTCATTCTAAATTAGTCCTATTCAAAGGTTCGTATGTAACTAATTGTAGGCAATTTGCCAAGAGAACCCTTCTGAAGACTGCAAGAAAAGCTGGGCTGAAATCCAAGCAGTCAAACAGGAAGACGAAGTATGTGTTGCCGACCCCACCATTGCCGAGACGGAACATATCTCCACGGTCATCAGACAGCGAGTCAGAACGCCCCAACAGCGAAGCATTCGATGATCTCTCCAGTAGGAACACAGTTTTGACCTTTTCTGCTTAAGCCATGACAGGGATAACAAAATAGTTTCTAAGAAATTCACCCAAACTCATATGTTGCTGTCTGGTGTATATTTTACATGAATAGTAGAGATCATATATTCCCATCTCTACATATAAAGCTGTAAGGTTGGTAGAAGTACTGCAATAGTATTCAGTAAGATGAGGATCTGTTGACTTGAGGACACTGTGACCTCTAACCATGTATGTGTTCCTGTTTTTGCAGTTATTGACGAGGGTGAGTTTGTCACGTCACTCTCTAGTGATCCCAAGAATCTGGAGCGTCTGGTGGAGAAGACCGGTTACCAGGACTACCAGCGTCTCGGCCTCGGCAACCTGTCGACAATCGGACAGAAGTCACGCTCAGAACCATTCAGGATATCAGTAGTTAATGCCAACTACTCTGTGTGTAGAAGGTGAGTGGAACATTGTAGCATTGTAACTGACAACGTCTGATTTCCTTCACCAACATTTGATGATTGGCTGGCTGTCAAATTGTAGCTAGTGTTGCTGACTGCATGATAAACTCACAACAAAGACTTTCTGGAACTCCATATCAAAATGGGTTCCCATTACATTTGTCCTATTGTGGGGAATTCTGAGTCAAAAGGGGTCCAAGAGCCACATGTTTGACTTACTTGACCAGAAGATGGTCAGACTGACGGACTTGTCTGGTCATGTGTTATTGTGTCCATCTGTTGAGTGATGTATCTGCAGTCTGATCTGTGCCTCCTCTGTGCTACAGTTACCCTGCCTTACTGGTCGTACCTCAAGTTGTTGCTGATGAAAGTATACGAAAGTTTGCCCGCTGTCATCGGCAGTCTAGGTAAGTCTCAAGCTGTGGAAATAAATGTCTATGTGTTTCTTGAAGTTGTACTATCTGGAGGAAATTACAGAAAGGAATTTATATGTCTTCCTACTTTTCTGAATTGTGACTTCTTGTATCAGTAAAAGATCCTTATGATTTGTACAGTTACACTTTGACAGAGTGATCAGTTGTCAGTCGTCTGTCATCTGCATCAATGTGTTAATTAATAGTTAAGTGCCAACTCCAGTATCCATTTTACAATGTCCTCTATCATGTCCCCAGGTTTCCTGTGATAACATGGCGGCACCCGCGAACGAAAGCATTACTGCTGCGTGCATCTGGTCTACATAGTCGGGGTCTCATGGGCATGCTCAGACACAACCAAACATCAGGTAGGTCAGACACAACCAAACATCAGGTAGGTCAGACACAACCAAACATCAGGTAGGTCAGACACAACCAAACATCAGGTAGGTCTGACACAACCAAACATCAGGTAGATCTGACACAACCAAACATCAGGTAGGTCAGACACAACCAAACATCAGGTAGGTCAGACACAACCAAACATCAGGTAGGTCAGACACAACCAAACATCAAGTAGGTCAGACACAACCAAACATCAGGTAGGTCTGACACAACCAAACATCAGGTAGATCAGACACAACCAAAAATCAGGTAGATCTGACACAACCAAACATCAGGAAGGTCAGACACAACCAAACATCAGGTAGGTCAGACACAACCAAACATCAGATAGGTCAGACACAACCAAACATTAAAAAGGTCAGACACAACCAAACATCAGGTAGGTCAGACACAACCAAACATCAGGTAGGTCAGACACAACCAAACATCAGGTAGGTCAGACACAACCAAACATCAGGTAGGTCAGACACAACCAAACATCAGGTAGGTCAGACACAACCAAACATCAGGTAGGTCAGACACAACCAAACATCAGGTAGGTCAGACACAACCAAAATAAGGTCAGACACAACCAAACATCAGGTAGGTCAGACACAACCAAACATCAGGTAGGTCAGACACAACCAAACATCAGGTAGGTCAGACACAGGTAACCAACAACCAAAACATCAGGTAGGTCAGACAAAACAAAATAAGGTCAGACAGAACCAAACATCAGGTAGGTCAGACACAACCAAACATCAGGTAGGTCAGACAACCAAACATCAAGTAGGTCAGACACAACCAAACATCAGGTAGGTCAGGACACAACCAAACATCAGGTAGGTCAGGACACAACCAAACATCAGGTAGGTCAAACATCACACAACACAACCAAACATCAGGTAGGTCAGACACAACCAAACATCAGGTAGGTCAGACACAACCAAACATCAGGTAGGTCAGACACAACCAAACATCAGGTAGGTCAGACACAACCAAACATCAGGTAGGTCAGACACAACCAAACATCAGGTAGGTCAGACACAACCAAACATCAGGTAGGTCAGACACAACCAAAAAACATCAGGTAGGTCAGGTCAGGTCAGACACAACCAAACATCAGGTCAGACACAACCAAACATCAGGAAGGTCAGACACACAAACATTAGTTACGTTAGACACAATCAAACATCAGGTAGACAGGATAAGGCCAAACATCAGACACCAAACATCAGACATGTTTCAATCCAATTCCTTTTCCTCACTCACTCACTCATCAATGGAAATAAGAAAAATCTATATGATGTTCAGAATATGCTAATCCTTAGATAACATGACAACTCAGTTAAGCTTTTATTTTATAAACCATCAACCTATTCAAACTTTCTCTTAGTGTCATTTCATAGCAAATACATGCTTTCAAAACTGACCTTTTTCATCAGAGTGAATTCTTTCCAGGTACTTCAAGCGGGGAAACCTCCTCAAGTTTAGAACAAGAAAAATATTTTTCGGCTCTGGTGGCAGCCACACCGAGCAGCAACCGATCTTACCACTCGTCATACAGCGACTCCCTCACTAGCCTGGACTCGCTGATGATGGTGGGCACAGACACTCTGACAATCCCAGAAACCCCCGATCCCTTACGGCGCAGTATCTTCAGCAAGGGCAGCACCGCCAACAGGGGCAGCACCAGCGGCAAACCAAAGCCTACATGTGAGTTGTCTCCCTTTCAAACTCCATTCTTGTTATGTGTGTGGATTATGTTACTTTGCTGAGTAGTGTTTTCCTGAAACATACTTATATAAGAATAAGAATAGATTATTTAAGGGAGGTGGATATGGTAATTCTTCTTTTCGATGAAAAAGTAATTTGATCCTGGTTGTATATATTTTAATGAATAATGTATGAATACAGTTTAGATTATTAAAGTTCAGATTATTAAAAAAGTTTGCTGGTTTATTATTTACTGTTGTAATTAGTTGTAAGTGTAACGGTGTATCAAACAATAGGTTTTTAGGACATTGCACTTTGGGAAAACACTACAACAATGGAGTGAAGTGTATATGATTTCTGCCATGTTGCCGTGGCCCAGTTTTCAAATGTAACAGTTTCATGTTTTTCAGTGTCATCTTCAGTTCTGTGTGAGGAGATCTTTTATTTATTTGTTATTGGGTTCAGAAACAGTTCCTCCACATCTCTTTCATATTGTTCAGATTATTATTGTTGTTGGTTTCATTTTACATTTTATATAATTATGACACCACTTTTCCCCTCTGATTATTATGTACCCTGGTCCTGCCAGCACCCATCATGCATGATGGTTTTGTATGACACGCCCTTGTATGACACTTCCTTGTATGACACACCAACATGTGCACATGTGTATTCCAGTATGCATGCATTCAAGTACGTCTCCCGACATGCACACGTAAATGCATATATAGTTACTCTGAACTGATAACATGTTTGTGTAAATCAGTTGAAATATCTCAATATTTGCCAAATGCTGGCTAGTACAGATTGTGTATCAGCTGGGCAAGAGTTCAGGATCTATTCCACAAAGCAATCTTTGTACTAGGACTGTTGCAAGGGAGTTGCTTAAGATGTGGCACTAAAATCTTTTCCTGGATCCTTGTGTCCCATTTCATAAACAGTCTTTACGTTCTGACTAACTTTGCAAGCCTTGTTAAAGGATGGGTTTTATAACCATTTTGGTGCTACGATAGCTATGTGGCCACATTGCCCAGGGCCCTGTTTCACAAAGCGATCTTAGTGCTACGACTGTCGTCACTCTATGTTAAAGTATAGGAGATACAATAGGTGTGGCACTATGATCGCTTTGTGAAACACGGCCTGTATGACAGGGCTATTAAACTCTGATAAACTAAATAAAGACTTGCAACATCTGTAGTGTTGGGTTGGCTTTGTGAAACCATGAATTTACTTATCGATTAAATACGAACTTGATAGCATGTGTGTCCTAGATAACAAAATCTTCATATTCATTGTATTTAGAAATGCATATCATGTCAATTCATATCCTCAATCAGGGCTACACATTTCCCATTAACAGCCCTGAATGTGCTGTTTATCCACGCATCCCTTGGAATGTCACACCACTTTTTAGAAAATATTTTTAGTAGTTTAGTGTCCTGTCTACATTTGCACAAAGTGATCTTAGCACTATGTCTAGCATAGTGTATAGGAGTTACGATCATCGTAACTCTTAGATTGCTTTGCGTAAGTGGGCCCTGCACTGATGTAACTGTTTAGTCCTGCACTGTTCAGCTGTCATCACTACCATCCCTACATCAGTAGAATGTTTCGTTTCTTCTTGTAGATTTCCTTTTGAATATGTTGTTGTTGTTGGTTTTCAGTGGAAGATGAATTTGACTGTAAGCTATTATTCCTTTTCTCAATTAACCTTAAATGCAGCAAAGTCTCTAATGCCTTAGCTTCAATTTGGAACAGATGCTGGTGTTTGGTGTGTGGTTGAATTGTATGGAGAAAGACAGCTTTTGATTATCGATACATGAAATAACTAATTTCAGGAAATGTATAGTCATTTACTGTCTTCTGATTGAATACCAGCTTTGATGTGTGACTTGAGACAGCTAGTGTCGTAGTAAGAGTGGCTTGTACCATAGTATGCTGCCAAAACCAATATCCTTTCGTCAGCAACAAACAAACGCAGTTGCTTTTTTTTCCCTTTATGGTTTGATTATGTCACTGTTTTTGTTATCATAAGTAGTCTCTGTGTGTTATTTCCAACCAGGTGTAATTTTGATGTACGCCTCATAAAACATGTATCTTACACAAGGACGTGTACATTGTAAGAAAATCATTTGTCACAAAATATTTTCATATGGTTTAATACATTGAGTTTGCTTGACATATTTAATCTTTACAGAATGTTCAAAATTATGATTAACACATTTAAAAACAATCTGCAGGACTATTTTGATGACATTCAGTCAGTTTCTGAGAAAATTAACCTGTCTGAAATTCTGTATAAATACAAAAGTTCTCCAACAGGCTATAGTGGGTGTCTATTTCTCGGTTGTGCCTCAGTTCATTTTTGACTGGATATGTGTCATGTCAGTGACATGTATTGTGACATGTCACGATAGCCCTTACACTGAGTTACTGGATGTGGTGTGACTTGAACATATGTCCAGGTCAGAGTGAGTGAGTGAGTTTGGTTTTATGCCGCTTTTAGCAATATTCAGCAATATCATGGCGAGAGACACCATAAATGGGCTTCACAATGTACCCATGTGGGGAATCGAACCCGGGCCTTTGACATGACGAGCGAACGCTTTAACCAATAGGCTACCCCACCACCCCTGTCCAGGTCAGAGATCTGATGCATACTGTCTGGCCTAGATACTCCAATTCTACGAAATATTGATTTTGACAAAAAGTTTTAAATTAATAGAAAATGATAAGATGAAGATATTGATCAGTACAGGTTTGTGAAATGATATACTTGGGTTGCTACAAAAATAGCAGTATAGCCTTCAGCATCATTTGTCCATTTGGTTACAGATAACACACAGAGACTGTTTTAGCTGCATGGTTGATATTTATTTTCTTTCATTTGCTCTTTTAAATTGGTTGCCTAGCAGCGCAAGATCAGCCGGTGATGAGGGGCGTTAGACGCGGGTCGTTTGTGCAGACTATGAATCGCCTGCGAGCTAGCATCGGCAAAGGCAGCATTGGTTTCGGAAGTAGTAACACGTGTAGGTCTAACTGTCACCTCTGTACGTAATGTCTGCTGTCCCAGCATAACATTGTCACTTGCCTGGTCCTGGTCTCACTGGAGGACCTCCAACATAATCCATAGGCGAGTTTCAGATGCCAGCATGCGCATGTCAATCATATCCCACTCTTCTGGAGACACTGAGTTACTGTCAGACATCTCTACAAACAAATCAGCAGCTAATCCGAGTCACTGGCAAACAAAAACATATCATGGACGATCGTCAAGGTTATCAATCTTATATTGTAAATCACTGGAGATTCTGTTGGTACTGAAACATTTGTCCTTATTAACCCTTAAGCCTATGTAAATATGTCCTGTGCACACCTCCCATCAACCAAGTTTCCACACCTGCCATCAACCATGTGTCCTCGTCTCCAATCAACCAATTTTCCACACCTGCCATCAATCATATGTCCACACCTCCCATCAACTATGTGTCCACTGTCCACACCTTACATCAACCATGTGTCCACATCTCCCATCAACCATGTGTCCACACCTCCCATCAACCATGTGTCCACATCTCCCATCAACCATGTGTCCACATCTCCCATCAACCATGTGTCCACACCTTACATCAACCATGGGTCCACATCTCCCATCAACCATGTGTCCACATCAACCATGTGTCAACACCTCTCCACAACCATTAATCAACAGCCCCCTCAGTGTATTTTGGGGTCAGTCATTGTTTTATGACACATTTTGGATCCTGTAACAGATACAGTCGTTATTGGATACTGTGACATGTTTCCATTCAAGAAGTGTCCAGTGATTGCACGAATGTCGTGGATGGTGACAGTTTGACAATCTTTGTACATTAACATCATCCTGCTTGGAAGCACTGTGGGTCTCGCCAACCGGCAGTGCTTCCACTGCCTGCCTCCCTTGCCATGCTTCATTCATTAACAGGCTTGCTCCAGTACCCAGCTTCTAACAAGTGGTGTTATAATTCATTATCCATTCTTTACAGGTCTTCTCTCTGTTCTTCTAGTTTATTTTTCTCATGTCTGTGTTGAACAAGAAATAGTCATTCTTTCTCTTTTCTAGCAGTAGAAATTAATAAGTCAAAACTGTATTAATTATCTGTGAGCCCACGTTCATTTGATTACTGTATGTCAAGTGGAAATGTTAGGTAAGATAGGGTGATCATTGAACCCTTCCTCTCCTGTCTTCAGTATGGCTGAAACATCTGCTTCACCATCAGATCTTTGTTTTGGAATGAAAGTATTTGCTTTTTTCTGATAAACAGATCTGCAAAGTCTGCAATATTTGTGAAAATAGAAGTGAAAATGTTACAAAGTGTTTTTTCTCAGCTCATATTACACAAGATGTGTGAAATAATATTCCGCTTAATGATATTAACCCTTTCGAACTTAGATGCTACTTAGGCACATGTAGTTTTTCAGTATATTTACACACTTCCATTACAGGCATACAAGTAATGACAGAAAAACAAATGCCTTGATGTAAATTGTTTATAGAATAATTCAGTTATGTAAAGATTTGACATGAACTCAAGTAAGGCTTCATAACAGAAGCATCAAGAGGTAACAAAATCATGTTAGTTAGTTAAAATCTGGAAATAGTAACCCAATACCTGTACATTAATGGCTGGGCTGTGTAACAATGTAAAGAACTGTTTATTATCAACACATCCAGTATTTCCCAGGTCATAAACAGGAACACATTTCAACACAGGAGTTTAAACTTGACTTTGCAGTTCTGACAATGCCGAGGAGACCGCGGAAAGGCTGGCAAAGTAATCTACCATTTCCCTTGTGTATAGCATGAGTCGTCCCCCTTTATTTTCTGTTTGGCGTATGTCACTGTATGATAGCTAGCTGTCTGCTTCTACACCTCAGGACAGTCTGTCAACAATGTATCTCCATCACTTGTTGCATCTCACAGCAGATGTGTACATATTCATGTTTATCATTACTCCTTAGATAAAATTGGCTTGGCAGCTGAATCAGTGTTGCCATTTTATTATGATTGATCAGACGTCGCTTTTCATTGAAAAGTTTTCTCTGTAACTTGTGAGTAATGATAAGGTCATTTTATGTTTCATTAGTTGGGTGTACAAGGTTTTACTAGATGTATATTCATACAGATTCATTGTTTGTGTGTTCAAGATCATATAGCTGTTAAAATCCTGCACATCCTACTGGTGACATGCATAACTAATCTTAGTTCAATAACACATGAGATCCAGGTGGTACTAGTCACACAGAACTACTGTCACAGTTGTATATAAACCGCCCTCTAGGGGTTACAAAGTTGAAACAGCTACAAATTAGGCCAGGGGACTCAGTCATTACAGGTGCTGCAATTTGTTGAGAAGAGTGAGTGTCTCACAACTGGGAGTTCTCACAAGTGGGAGGACACCTTCAGAAGTATTCCAACTATATGGCGTCGGTCTGTAAATAATCGAGTATGGACCAGACAATCCAGTAATCAACAGCATGAGCATCGATCTACGCAATTGGGATACAATCACATGTGTCAACCAAGTCAGCGAGCCTGACCACCCAATCCCGTTAGAGCCTCTTACAACAAGCATGGGTTACTGAAGATCAAATCTAACCTGGATCTTCACTTACGACAAGCATGGGTTACTCGAGGTCAATTCTAACCTGGATCTTCAGAGTTTTGTCCCTTATAATTTTTGCTTCCTATACCACATTGGCACTGAGTATGATTGGTTGTTTAGCACCAATATTTTTTTAAATATTTAAGTCAGGGTTCTTTTTCTATTTAGCCTTTTCAGTTTATATTGATTTCAAGTTATTAATAATATGTGTCATTTGCCAGGGCAAGTGTCAAAAAGAGATTCTTCAAAGGCATTTAGAAGTTGGTGTAGTAATACAAGACAAATCTTATGGATAACAACTTCTTGATTTATTTTACACAACGTTTCTAGGCTAGTTCTTGCCCCTTCGTCATCCACCTGACGAACGGACAAGAAGCAGTCCAGAAACGTTGTGTAAAATAAATCAAGAAGTTGTTATCCATAAGATTTGTCTAGTATTGTCAAAAAGAGATCGAACAGTTAACTTCAATACTTTTACTGTCATGTACACTATATCAGGCTGGAAGAGGGTATGCTCAATTAGTTATGATCCTGATTGTTTATAAGTAACATACTCAAAATTCAAATACAGATATCATGCCATCACCCTGCCCTAATATCTGAACCTGTGATGTTAGATCCACGGCCAACATCTACCAGAAGACCTGATCGGTGCCCCAGTGGCAAGCTATTGCCAGTATTCCTCGATTGTGCACCCCAACCCAAGCTTGCCCCGAGCTATGATACTATCTGTCAACACCTTACTTAGATTGTAGGGGCGCTGGGGTAGCCTGGTGGTTAAAGTGTTCGCTCGTTACACCGAAAACCCTAGGTTCAATTCCCCACATGTGTACAATGTGTGAAGCCCATTTCTGGTGTTCCCCGCCTTGCTATTGCTGGGATATTGCTAAAAAGCGGCATAAAAGTAAACTCACTCACTTACTTAGATTGTCCAAAAATAGCAAAATGTAAATTCAGTACCAATGTATCGATGCACTTGAAATCAAAATACTGAAATACTGTAGCCCTGTTGACAATACTGACACATGACGTGCTGTGATAGATCTAAAAAACTGTGGTCCTACTTGCAATTCTTGACATGCCTTGATAGATCTGAAATACTGTAGTCCTATTGACAATACTGTCAACATTCCATGATAGATTTGAAACATTGTTGTCCTATTCACAATACTGTCAACATTCCATGATAGATTTGAAACATTGTTGTCCTATTCACAATACTGTCAACATTCCATGATAGATTTGAAACATTGTTGTCCTATTCACAATACTGTCAACAATCCATGATAGATTTGAAACATTGTTGTCCTATTCACAATACTGTCAACAATCCATGATAGATTTGAAACATTGTTGTCCTATTCACAATACTGTCAACATTCCATGATAGAACTTCGTAAGTGTTGTCCCGCTCTCCACCCAACTGTGACAGTAGTTCTGTGTTCTAACAAGCTGTACAGAAACTACTAATGGAGCAAGAATGAAGCAGATATCACTGTACGAGGCACCATGTTATCACATGGGCAGCATGAGCAGGTTGATACGGGGGTTACATCCAGGCATGGCAACCCACAACAATGAATGTGCTTCTACTGACAATCTTCCAGTCTGCTGTATCTCGGATGAGCTGTCATTAACAAATTTAATTTCATCAGTCATTTATTTCATTTCCTTTTTAGTTGAACTTTTTAAGCTTACGTGCTTAGTGAATTTATTGAGTCTTGCATAAAATTATTTCTTCTGAAGTTGGTTAACAAGATTTATTTTAGGTTTAAGTTAGAATAGTAGAATGCTGAAAGTATGTTAACATATGTTAGGTATAACACTGCTTTTATACCCTAGATGAGCAAGAGGGTACTAGCTTAGATTTGGATCAGGTTAGTTTTGTAGTTGCACTGTGGTGACATTTCATTAGATGGCTGCACTTAGCATATCCTGGTACGGTACCCACCCCATGGAATAATAGAAATAATGAACAAGTGTGATATTCTTATTGATCATTGATAAGCTCAGCTGGCTTCACGTTTCTGCTCATATATTCATTCAAAGTCCACTTCATGTGTTTCAGGGTTGGCTTTGTTTTATGTGTATGTCAAGAATATTATACTTGCTCACAAATATACATCCATAATTGTGTTTCTACATTGATCAAAATTGAAATTGTCTTCCAAACGTTGTCTTTGCTTTGTGCAGCTTTGCATCTGTTTTGGTAGATTTAATTTTGGGATATGTTTACATATTTTTTGGTTTTCAAATTTAAACTGTGTGCTGTAACATGTGAGGTTTCATTGAGGCTAAAAATGTTATATTTTCAAAAGCATTAGTTTTTTTCTTTTTAACTTATTGCAGAATTTTCAACTTTTGTTTGATATTTTAAACATTAATTTTCTGATTATTCTTTGATAGCTGTTTAACGTTATGTTCAAATCAAGTCAGTGTTTGCTTGTTTGTGTTCATTATGCTAACCTCAAATTAAAATGATTGTTTTGTGGCTAATGTGTGTTTCAATTTTGTTGTTTAATGAAAAACAGGGATGTTTTCTTTTTACCTTTCTCTTCTTGTAAGATGTTGTTCATACTAAGTTCATGTGATGAATAATAGCATATAGTTTTGCAATTTTACTCAATTCTGATATTAATTATTCATTTTAATGCACATCTGTTTGAGTATAAAAATCAATATTTTGCACAATGCTATTATGTATCTCTCATTCCAGGTTAATTAAACTCTGCTGTGGACATTTTGTCATGGTTATTCTTGATATTTCAGCTCTAAACAGGATTGGAAGTCTGCGGGAGAAATCTCGCTTCAGCTCTCCAGACACAAGGTCGCGTGCACAAAATGGCAGCTTAGATCACCGTGGTGATCTCATCAACAGCTCTGTGCAGGGTCTTCACCGAGTGTCCCTTTACGTGCTAGGGGAGAAAACCCAGATGAAGGTAGGTTCATGAGGGAGTCCCTTTGTCTCTCAGTAAAACAGCATGGTTAAAAAGGTTCCCCATCACTATATTGCTTGCTAGAAGAGGCAATTAGATTGGGTTGTGTGGTGAGTCTTGGGGACTTGGCTGACGAGCATCATCGTTGCCTGATTGCTTGAAACATTGTTCAAGTTGTCATTCACTAGTTTGCCTAGTCCAGCCATGGCTTTAAACAGATTGTCCTGTGATGCAGCTGGAATATTGCTGACTTTGGTATATTACAATAAACAACTCGACAACAAACTTTAGCTTGGTTTCATGGTATTCTGGAGTCAAGACATTGCTGTTCAGTAATCCACTACACCACCCTATTTCACCATGGTAGAGAGTCTGTTTCAGTGAAGGTGAATGTTCGGTAATCCACTACACCACCCTATTTCACCAGGGTAGAGAATCTGTTTCAGTGAAGGTGAATGTATTTCTGACCACAGGGCATCAAGATGGAGTCGTTTCAGAAGTGTGACTTCATCCCGTTGGACTTCTTCGAGGTGCGCCACGTGAAGGCCAGCTTCAAGAAGTTGATGCGTGCTTGTGTTCCAAGCAGCCTGTCACCAGAGGCCAACTTCTACAAAGCTGTGGAGGAGTCCGAGTGGCTGCTGCAGGTATGGAACATGGCCTCCTCTCGTGGCCATTTTGTTTTTCTTGTTTAACTCCAGCCTTGGTATGAGAAAGGTTTGATCTGAAATGAATGGACAGATATGAATAGAAACTGTTCCATGTTTCAAGTGATATCATTCTTTACACTTATTACAACATGGGTAAAACAAGTGGATTTTTTTTGTTGTTTGTTGGGTTTTTTTTCAAAACTCCTGGATTCCGTCAAGTAAAGTAGTGATGGGTTTAATGAATAAAAGGAAATCAAATGTATTTTGGCTTCTTTGAGTCCACTGAATTTAGAGTGCTCTATCAACAACTTTCCATGGCCTGTGTACTCATTAACATGGAGAATCTGGATATCAGTATATTTCCATTGCAACACTTGCTTGTTATATTCCTTAGTAGAATGTGTCCCTATTATCCTATTCTTGTTGTAAGAGCCAACGAGATGGTGGAGTGGTCAGGCATTTTTTATTTGGCTGATGGCATGTACCCTGCTCATGCACACTGCCCATGCTTCAATATCTTGCTTGCTTTGTCCAAACTTGATCAAGGCCACCACAGAGGCCAACTTTGCAGACTGCTATGTTAAATAATATCAACCCACTTACATAACATCACATACCATATATTCCTGGAGCTCAACTGACCCATCTGTTCCTGTGATCAGATCCAGAATGTGATGCAGCTGGCGGGGGCCACAGTGGACCTGCTGGACGTACAGGGATCCTCCGTCATGATCTGTCTGGAGGACGGCTGGGACGTCACTTCACAGGTACGTAGTACAACAGGGCACTAGGAGTAGGTGGAAGGTACACACCAGTGACCTGTTCATTAACTGCTGGAACTTCACTTATTGGAGACACTCCATAGATTCTAGTATCACCATATTCAACTTACCATGGCACCAGGCAGAGAGAGATCACACCACGATGATGACGATGATGTTTCACATACTCTAAAGTTGGGAGTCTACTACAAGGTGTAATGTGAATTTCCTGAAATAGGAGTGTCATGAAAGCTGTAAGTGAATTAAGTTTTGAGTATCCTTCAAACTAGTATAAAGTACAAGTTTCCTGTAGGTTATGGTGTGAATCCTGTGCTGGAGCCAATCAGCCCCCCCATCCAATGCTATTACATTTAAACTGGAATTTGGAGTTTCCTTCAAACTAGTTTGCTGCAAGCTGTAGTGTGACTGACAATGTGCTGCAAGCTGTAGTCTGACTGTGTCGTTCCTCCCCAGGTGGTGGCAGTGGCGGAGATCCTGCTGGACCCACACTATAGGACAATCGAGGGGTTCAAGGCTCTGGTGGAGAAGGAGTGGCTGTCTTTCGGTCATCGCTTCACACACCGCAGCAACCAAACAGCTGCCAACCAGGCTAGCGGTTTCGCCCCGGTCTTCCTTCAGTTCCTGGACGTAGTGCATCAGGTACTTTAATGAGTAAAAACACCTGTTGTCTGGAAGGGTAACAAGATGAACACCTGTGCTGATAGGTCGGTTAATGAGCAAACACCTGTGCTGATAATTAGTTTAAGACATAAGTCAAATTGTGCTGACATTTGGGTTAACAAGAAAATACTGCTGTTCATATTTTGGCTGACGTTACTTACCTTTTACCATAGCAATTGCTGATCTGACACAACAATATAAGACACACGTTGGCTAAGGATACAGTGACTGCTACTTGCTGCTCAAGGATTTACACATTTACCTGTGTATAGTCTTTAGCCTGTTAATATTGTACATAAGCACTGCTACAACCTAAAACCTTCAGGCTTCTTCCAACATTAACCTGAAATACAATAATGAAACCAGAACTCATACAATGTATCACTGTTAGAGATAACAATAAGTCTAACATGTAAGGTGCTTTATCTGTACTGAGTATTGTCCCTTGTGACCTACAGGTCAAATCCTAGAGTCACCTTGCACAAAATACAAATAACTGAAATAGTGTTCACTCCCACTCACTCACCCAATCAATCAATCATCCAATCTATCAATCACACACATGCAAACTGTTCTTCCCAGATTCACCGCCAGTTCCCCTTGTCCTTTGAGTTCAACCAGCACTTCCTCAAGGTTGTGGCGTATCATTATGTCTCCAACCGATTCCGAACATTCATGTTGGACAATGAGTTTGAGCGTGTGGAGGCGGGCTGGCTCCATGAAGATAAACGTCCCTCCAAGGTGGATGATGGGGAGGAGGACTTAGGCGGCTTCTCCCCCAAACACACGGCCAACACAAGTGTTGGCGGGTCCATCTGGGACTACATCGAGAAGCAGCACAGACGATCAGCCACTTTCTATAACTTCATGTACAGCCCGAAGATGGAGACACGGTGAGTCAATTTTTGGTTAAAGATGTACTAGGTTTGGTGGGGAATAGATGTGTTCTTTGAGGGTTCTTTTCTTTTGACTCTAAGTACAGGTTGATAAGGTTGTTATGAGAGTGGGTTTTTTGTCATTTGTAATATCACATTGATTAAGTGATAGTTATTATGGGTCACTTTGCTTAAAGTTTTGAGTGTGGGGTTTGGCTCGCATCTAGCATCATATATGTTCAATGGCAATAGTATTCTTAGTGAAACACCTTTTTGATAGCACTTCAGAGTTGCCTCCCTTGGCTGGCTATATTTTGTTTTGACTTCCGGTCGTATGTTCGAGAAAATCACCTAATGTTCTGAGAGAATAATGAGGGAGCCTAGCCTTGCTAGAATGCTCGAGAACTGTGTAAGAGCTATATAAAGGCTGGTTGTTGCATTGTGTGACGGGAATTATCACATGACTGGAGTTATACACATCTGTCTCAAGAGCTGAACGTGCTTGCCTGTTCAACTGTTGTCATTGTAAACAACCTTCAATCAGTATATCTGCTCTCACTGTAAATGTCAAGACTCTGGTGAGTTAATATTTTATATTTGTGACGCAATATTTTAGATTTGTGACTCAATTGCATTGTATTAGAAATCTGTATTGTTATTCATTGTAGTTTGCTCATTGTTTATTCAATATATTATTGAATATTTTAGACTTGTCTGTGTTCTATTTTGCTGGTTCAAAGGAGACTCTTAAACCTTTTGTCACAGCAATGTATGAACCGTAACAAGGTGCTAAACTGAGGGAAAACATATAATGTTAGAAATAGGTAGTGTCATCTGGATTAAACAGATGCTCTTTTTAAAGAATGTGGGACAGAACTGAAGTGTCAATTATTACATGCATGTCTAGACACACTGATGGAATATATCCTTAGTGTATTCAAGTGACTTCATTCTCAAATTTGACTGCAAGTTTAACCTGTTGTGTATGGTGTCATTAGTTGAGAAGTGTTAAATACATTGTTCCGCCTCCCAGGTGCTACGTCCTTACTCCAACATCTCCAACCTTCGCATCTGGGACTACTACCTGGCTGAGGATCTCGCACACGGCCCCACCTTTGACATGGAGGTCGTAACCAAGGAGATCCGGCAGAATGAGGACCAGGAAGCAGAGGCCATGGGCATCTCTCGGAGGAAGATCCTAAATGCCTGCTACGATAGTATCATGCTTCAAGAACCCAACTACTTTCATGGACAGTTCCAGGTGAGCATGTCAGAATTCCTCACTGCTGCCTCTGTTGGACAGTTCCAGTTGAGCATGTCAGAATTCCTCACTGCTGCCTCTGTTGGTCATAGGTTTATCGGGGCGGTGGGGTAGCCTAGTGGTTAAAGCGTTGGCTCGTCACGCCAAAGACCCGGGGTTTGATTCCCCACATGGGCACAATGTGTTAAGCCCATTTCTGGTGTCCCCCGCCGTGATATTGCTGGAATATTGCTAAAAGCGGCGTAAAACTAAACTCAGTCAGTCAGTCATAGGTTTATCAAGTGGTCAGACCTGGAGGCTTGGTTGATTGTTTGATATGTTTTAGATCTGTCACTGGCCAAACCTTTTTTTTTAGCAGGCTGCTGTAATGAGTACAAACATTGTTAAGCATAGAACCCTTGTAAAATACTGAACTCATTACCAAAGTGCCGTGTATATTTTTCCAAGAAATCAGACATGTCATTTATCAAGCAGGGTTCATACTGACTTGAAGGCCTTGAACTTAACAGCTCAGTCTTGAAAAGGCCATGCATTTAAATCGTGGGCGTGGTAGGCGAGCTGTGTACAAGGCTAGTGATCCAGCAAGCTTGAAGTGCAGGGATCGAGCCCACCTGTGACCAGATGTGTTGTCACAACCCCAGTGCACTTAAAAGAACCCACGAATTCGCTGGTAATGACCAGATGGTGGCCACATGAATACATGCAAACACCTAGTTGCAACTTCCAGTAGACTTGGACAAAGTACTGTGACTATGTGTCCAAGTCCACCCAGATGTGAAAGGGTAACTCGTAAGGATGGGAAAGCCACATTATGATCCCAAGGGAGTTGAAACTGATAATACGATGTGCCATTTGAGTTTGACATCCAATGATCGAGGGAAAAACAAAGCACCTTTGAGCAGATGAGCTGGATATTGGCTCTATGCAAATATTAGCATAATAATTAAATCACTCTTTGATGATTTTCCTTTCTGTAATCATGTACGATTAAGAGATAAGCTTAATTGTGAAAGGACTCCACTCATTGCATGGCATGGTGCTCATGCTTTCAGCCACTGGTTTGTTTGGTCTCCAGGCTATTATGTAGAAGCCACTGTGTAACTGATGGTAAAAGTTTCTGACTCACACACTGAGACATGACCCTGATGTTTTGCAGGAGACCCATCGGCTAGAGACGGACCTGGGTCACCTGCCCCAGAAGTGGAAGGTACAATGGGACAAGCTGGAGTCCCCACACCGCGATCATGTGCAGCGACAGGTGTCGTTCAACACCCAGATGGTCCGGTCTCATGGCCGCTCCATACACAAGCGCTCCACCCTAGAGATACTGGTCCGGGGCAAGATGCTGGGTGAGGCGGCCAGGATGTTCACCCAGCCCCATCACTTCGAGAAGACCACCTTCACCACCCCCCTGTATTATGACTACTGCACCCATGTGCTTTGGGGACTGTCCAAAACAGGTGGGTGCTTTAATTGTTATACCATGTGCTCTGGGGATTGTCCAAGACAGACGGGTGCTTGCTTTGTTAGACCATGTGCTCTGGGGATTGTCCAAGACAGGCGGGTGCCTGCTTTGTTAGACCATGTGCTCTGGGGATTGTCCAAGACAAACGGGTGCTTGCTTTGTTAGACCATGTACTCTGGGGATTGTCCAAGACAGGCGGGTGCTTGCTTTGTTATACCATGTGCTCTGGGGATTGTCCAAGACAGACGGGTTCTTGCTTTGTTAGACCATGTGCTCTGGGGATTGTCCAAGACAGGCAGGTGCTTGCATTGTTAGACCATGTACTCTGGGGATTGTCCAAGACAGGCGGGTGCCTGCTTTGTTAGACCATGTACTCTGGGGATTGTCCAAGACAGACGGGTGCTTGCTTTGTTAGACCATGTGCTCTGGGGAGTGTCCAAGACAGACGGGTGCTTGCTTTGTTAGACCATGTGCTCTGGGGATTGTCCAAGACAGGTGGGTGCTTGCTTTGTTAGACCATGTGCTCTGGGGATTGTCCAAGACAGGCGGGTGCTTGCTTTGTTATACCATGTGCTCTGGGGATTGTCCAAGACAGACGGGTGCTTGCTTTGTTAGACCATGTGCTCTGGGGATTGTCCAAGACAGGCAGGTGCTTGCTTTGTTAGACCATGTGCTCTGGGGATTGTCCAAGACAGGCGGATGCTTGCATTGTTAGACCATGTACTCTGGGGATTGTCCAAGACAGGCGGGTGCCTGCTTTGTTAGACCATGTGCTCTGGGGATTGTCCAAGACAGGTGGGTGCTTGCATTGTTAGACCATGTACTCTGGGGATTGTCCAAGACAGGCGGGTGCCTGCTTTGTTAGACCATGTACTCTGGGGATTGTCCAAGACAGACGGGTGCTTGCATTGTTAGACCATGTGCTCTGGTGATTGTCCAAGACAGACGGGTGCTTGCTTTGTTAGACCATGTGCTCTGGGGATTGTACAAGACAGACGGGTGCTAGCTTTGTTATACCATGTGCTCTGGGGATTGTCCAAGACAGGCAGGTGCTTGCTTTGTTAGACCATGTGCTCTGGGGATTGTCCAAGACAGGTGGGTGCTTGCTTTGTTAGACCATGTGTTGTCCAAGACAGGCGGGTGCTTGCTTTGTTATACCATGTGCTCTGGGGATTGTCCAAGACAGACGGGTGCTTGCTTTGTTAGACCATGTGCTCTGGGGATTGTCCAAGACAGATGGGTGCTTGCTTTGTTAGACCATGTGCTCTGGGAGTGTCCAAGACAGATTGTCCAAGACATGTGCTCTGGGGATTGTCCAAGACAGGTGGGTGCTTGCTTTGTTAGACCATGTGCTCTGGGGATTGTCCAAGACAGGCAGGTGCTTGCTTTGTTAGACCATGTGCTCTGGGGATTGTCCAAGACAGGCGGGTGCTTGCTTTGTTAGACCATGTGCTCTGGGGATTGTCCAAGACAGGCAGGTGCCTGCTTTGTTAGACCATGTGCTCTGGGGATTGTCCAAGACAGGTGGGTGCTTGCATTGTTAGACCATGTACTCTGGGGATTGTCCAAGACAGGCGGGTGCCTGCTTTGTTAGACCATGTACTCTGGGGATTGTCCAAGACAAGTGGGTGCTTGCATTGTTAGACCATATGCTCTGGGGGCTGTCCAAGGCTGGTGGGTGCTTGCATTGTTAGATATTGTGCTCTGGGGGCTATCCAACACAGGTGGGTGTTTGCATTGTTGGACCATGTGCTCTGGGGGCTGTCCAAGATAGGTGAGTGCTCTTAATAGAGACTGTCACTGGTTGGTAAGATTCATGTAACAATCTAACAGTGTTAGACTCACTCACTCAACTGTGCTCTGTTTTCAGGAATGCGTTGTGTCGACTGTGGCTACAACTGCCATGACAAGTGTCAGCCATCAGTCCCCAAGAACTGCACCAAGCTGAAGACGATGTCCGACGCCAGTGCTAGCAGCTCCAGTATATCACGGACAGGAGGCTCTGATGCCAGCTCTAGTTCTGTTGGTAAGTCATGTGTGGATCAGTACATCAGTAGCAATAAGCAGAATACACCTACATGCCTTGTTTCAAGATGATACCATGTCCACATGTATCTTGAGTGTGACCGTACTGGTCAGAGTGAGTGAGTATGGTTTTACACCGCTTTTAGCAACATTCCAGCCATACCATGGGCGGGGGACACCAGAAATGGGCTTCACACATTGTACCCATGGGGGGAATCGAAAATGGGTCTGAGGCATGATGAATAAACACTTTATCCACTAGGCTACCCACCCCCCATACTGGTCAGATGAACTTTCAGTTTTGTGCCCTCTGCAAGGTGCTTGTTTCTGTCCATGAATATATTATAAGTTACAGAACTATACTTACCAAACATGTTAAAATAGGACAGTGTCTGACTAGAAACACCTGTCAAACACTGACAGTGTACTCCTCTCCATACAGAATTATTCCTCAAGACATATATCAGACATGCTCAATATTATATCAGACATGCTCAATATTATATCAGACATGCTCAATATTATATCAGACATGCTCAATATTATATCAGACATGCTCAATATTATATCAGACATGCTCAATATTATATCAGACATGCATGTTGGATTATTGGAACAACAAACATATTGTATGGGATGTTTCTGTATCGTAGATACTCTGTCCGCAGCCACCACACAAGCCTTCGAAAACTTCCCCTCCAGTCTGGGTGACTGTAGTCACAGCACCCACGAGGGGTTTCTGTACAAACAGGGGGCGGGCGCTGCTCAAGGGGTGGAAACAGCGCTGGTTTGTACTGGACTCCATGAAACATCAGGTGAGTGGGAGTGTGGTTTGTTTTTACTGTGTCCAGTTCCAGTGACTGACTGAGCTTGTAGCTGTTGGGGGGAATGTAGTTTTGACCTAACACAACAGTGGTTTGCTGTCTTGAACAAATGTGTTGATTACAAAAATATGACTTTTCACTTCTACCTTCCAAGAAGCTGTGAACGACAAGCTGTTCTGTGTGGAAACAAATGACTTGTATATTTGGACCAATCTGTGGGCTTATCTTTTGCTTCATTATTAATATAACTAGTGTCTCATCTTCACTAATCAGTGTTATGAAAACATGAGTAACATATACCTTGCCCTACAGCAATGTTACACTTCAAAATCCTAGTGACGAATTGTTTCTTGTGTTTAGTTGCGCTACTACGATGCTATACAGGACGGGAACTGTAAAGGCTTCATTGATCTGGCTGAAGTGGAGTCTGTGCAGCCCGTCAAGAACCACCCTGGTGCATCCAAGAAATCAGAAGAAAACTCTATATTTGAGGTAGGAGCTGCTCCATAACTCAGGATGAGAGGTCCAGTCAACCTATGTTCTCTTGTCATGACTCTAGTACTCTTATTTCATACTTGTTTTTCATTATGTTCTTTATAATCAGTCATGGGAGTTTGTTTGGATATATTTGTCATGTTTATTGCAGTAAGTTGAATCACAGCCCCCAGTAGTGGCAATGTGAATGAGTAATGAGTTTTTGTTTTATTTTGTTTGTTGCTTAACACCACATTCAGTAATCTCTAGCTCCATGGCAGCGGTATGTAAATAATCAAATCTGGACCAGACAATCCAGTGATCAACAGCATGAGCATCAATCTATGCAATTGGGATACAATGACATGTGTCAACCAAGTCGGTGAGCCTGACCACCGGATCCTCTTAGTCGCCTCTTGCAACAAGCATGGATTGCTGAATATCAATTCTAACCCAGATCTTGAAAGGTTTAATGGCTTATGAAGGGATACTGTATAATCACGAATGTATTCAGTTATGTTTATACCTTCCACCAAGGGAGACCTGGATTGGTTAAGTTTACAGCAACATCTGCTGAATTAACTTGAGGCGTGTTGATTCCATGTGATCATGATGGCGTTTATCATTGTTCAGTATATCAATCACTGAATTGTCTGGTCCAGAGTTGATTATTTACAGGCTGATATAACTGACATGTTGCTGAGTGCAGTGTTAACAACCAACACCAAATGTGTCAATGTGGTGATGATATTCCTGTTGATGTTACAGATCCGCACTGTTCGAAGGCAGTACAACTTCATGGCTGCCAACCCTGTTATGGCCCAGGAGTGGATAGACAAACTTCAGAGCTGTATACAGTAGCGAACACTAGCAAGCCAGACATTAAGTGCTATGTTTCCATGACAACAGTGTGGCTGGATAGATACTGGACCAGTTTATACTGGCAAGAGTGGTACACTTTTGAAGGGAACAGATTGAAGCCAGCTTAAACTAGATTGGACCAGATTGTACAGGAGTTTGTATTTGTGGAAGCATGACCAAGTTTTGTGAGTGTACGTGAGTGTGGGTGATAGTCAAGACTCTGCAGATCTCAACCAGCACTGAATCGTTCACAGGGTCAAACTTGGCCTCATCGTACAATCGTCCCCAAAGAATACTTGGCTCTCTGAGACGCAACTTACATGGAGTCAAGCTATATTTTTCGCCATAGTCATGTGTATGGAAGACGAGCCCTGTGGTGCACAGCTAAACCAGAATGGGAACCATTCAATCTGTAATACTCAAACTTGGGAGTATTTGCAATACCAGCGTTACAATGTGCGCACATGTAAACCTGTAAACCACATGTAGCTGTTCACATGACACCGTGCCCTGGGAAATGCATGAACCTGATCTCTGCTACACTGTCAGATAATTATAGGAAGAGAGTCGCTAGCCTCTTTCTACAGGTCGTCTAGTAGAGTCGGTGGTCCAATAGTCATAACTTTCCAGCATTAGATGTAGACATGCACAGAACTGATGGTAGATGCCCCGTGGATACTTGGTGTCCTGGAGAGTACAGGATCTAGACAGGGACCTCCAGATGTAGTGATGAGTCCCTCTGGCCTCATCCGAATCAGTATCATAGTCATCATCACAGCAGTACAGTAGTCTTGTAGTGCCAGAAATTAGGGTCTTCATCGTCACAGGAATACAGTAGTCTTGTTGTACCAGAAAACTAGTTTCTTCATCGCCACAGAAAACTAGAATTCACGGTACAGGAATACGGTAACCCTGTCATAACAGAAAACTAGAGTCTTCATCGTCACAGGAATACGGTAGACTGTGTAATCATAGGAATGTGACATTCTTCATCATCACAAAAATGTCATTTCTCTTATAACTCTCCATCAAAACCACTATTTAGTTATCACAAGAATACTGTTGTCTTTCTCTCATATGTTCATCGTATTTATCCCAATCACAAGCATAGTATTATCATCAAATAAATAGAAAGTAATTCTCGGATTGCATTGTAGCAGTGACACCTTTCATGGTGTACAGACTGTTGCTGAGAATGAGAGTAAAACCTCACTCACTCACTCCAGCTGCATTGTCATAGCCGCCAATACTGTTCCCATAGTGTTCAGACAAAGATGTTCAGTCTGTCACCTGCTGATACTGTGGAGTATACTGTAGATCACTGTCAGCAGCTCACAGACAGCACACAGAACATCAGTGTCTACTTAACATATGTCATCTGGCCACTGGTAACTTTTCCTGAAAGAGGATCAACGTTTTGGAATTCAGGGAAGTCCAGTAGGTCTCCATATTAACATGATACATATATTAGCCCAAATAGTCATAACATACATGGGTAGTTGATAAACTGAAATTCTGTTAGCTCTTAAGATACCTCTATCCTTAGATAAACTGTCTGTAGGCTGGTGCTTTTGTGTCCTTGCCCAGTGATGAGGTGTTGAAGTGAACTGCTGGGCCCAGTGTTTAGGGAGTCCTCATATCCTGTCACCCATTCAGATTGGAAACATTGACTCTCAAACACTCCATGTACCAGTGCAACGAGCTATAAAGGACGAGGCTCACCAGGATGAGGATATCCTGGATTAGGGCACCTGCTTACACTGCTTGTCCATGTTCCAAGATGATGTCATTTCAAGGTTCTACGGCATGACTGATAGAGGACGATGTACGACAGCAGTTGTGTAATCGCTGGAATATCATTATGTTTTTACTAACAATGATTAGTTTTGAAAAACGTTTGTTTACTTTCACTTCGGGTGTCAAGCATGCATTTACAGGAGTAAATGCCCATATGATCTGCTTTAAACCTTCATCAGGGTCGTCATTGATGATCACTTCAGTCACTGGACCAGTGAGACTTTAGTGCACAACTGGATCACATTCTCCTCAAACATGCATGAGACTTGTCAAGAGACTGATCAGGTTGAGTTTATCTGCATTTATAGAAGAAACACGAGAGCCGTTTGTTGAGTTGTGTGTGCTGTGAGCGGGTATGAATGACAGGGCTTATTTATACATGTGACAATGTGACATCTGCCGCTGTACATGCTTCGGATTTCTGTGCGTTTGTCATTGTCGTGTTTCCGTATCAGAAACACAAGTTTTAGTATTTGTATAAAACTGTATGTGGTATGTATATTGAGTACCGGTAGTCATCTGTACAGATGTATTCTAGAGATGTTGACTTGTGGGATCAGTGCGTCGTACTTCATCATTGTTTGACTTAGTGCTTGTATCCATACACTGTTGCTCCATGACGGACAATCTGCTGCTGTGTGTCATGAATGTTGCCATGGACGACAGGCATCCAGCCCTTTATATCCTTGTGTGGCATCATTAAGTCCATGAAATGTAATGTATGTATTTCACACCTTAATATTTCTTTTAGAACTGAAAAAGAATCAGATATGAATAAGCTAATTAGGTGGTAAAAGACAACTTCACATAATAAAATAGAATTATGCCTACAGTCAGCATATAGCAAGTTTCTAACAACAACAAAAATAATTTTTGTATACATGCTGTATGTTATTCACAATTGTCAATATATTGTCATTCCTTGAGATTAGAACTGGTGACAAATTTCAGACAAACTTAGTTTTTTTTCCATCTGTTATGTATTGAATTGTCAGTTACACCTGGGATTGATTGTTATATGTGAATTTGACTTTGTTTAATTAAACTAGATTTGACTTGATATTAATGTGAATTTGACTGTAGTTGCTGATCTATCTCGATATGTTCAGGGACAAGGCATGCATTAAATGTATAGAATCAATCCTGTATCATATAATACTGATCTGTTATTCAACAGTAAGACAGTGTATAAACACCAGCCTTGCCACACAGGGTAAAGACGAGGATTGTGTATGGTATATGTATGTATATAGACTTGGTTCTCTCAACCACTGTCACTATCAGTGCAATATGGATGCTCAACAATGGTTTTCTTGGCTCTATGCATAATGCATCACTAGACTCAACACCATTGGAGCAGGCTATGTATTTATTTGCTCATATAGTTTTTGGTACAACATCCTTGCATAGTTTCTTCTTTATATTTTTATAGGTATGTTTTCAGTATTACATCTGCCACAGTCTGTGAACTGCGTTGTTGGCATAAAGACACAGGACTTGCCACAAAGCCTTATAAGCCTTGCTTCTGGAATACTGCTGAGTTGTCTCCCTTTGGACATGCTCAGTGTGAATTTGTTTAATCCAATGGATAAATGACAAGAGAATACGACCGAAGTATTTTTGTAATGTTTGATATGTGACTTTGCAGGAAATTATCCAGGTTCATGTGTGTTTTATGTTTAATTTCACTCTAACCCAAAACAGAAAGGGCATTTAATGTTTAAAAGACCGTCCTACTGCCCCCACAAAATGTACAGCATATTACCTTTTATTGGGCAACATAACAATGTAACTTCCATTTCTCTGAGATAATATTCACACTATCCGTAACACAATTCATGCCAGACCTGAAACATCTTTTTGTCTGTTGATAAAAGCATAATGTGAATTTGGTACCAACTGAATAATGGCTCATTCGATCTCCAGTAATTGGTGATGGATTCCAGTCCTTCTGAAGTCATAAGCATACAGCCTCATCACCTGACTTTCCTTTCGAGCTGAGACATCGAGTCAACATTCAACTCACTCACTCACTCACCCATCTGATCTCAGACTGTTGACCAGCTCCATGTAACACTGTCTTCACTAGTAGGGCATAATGATTCATAAACACCACCTCAAGCCATACTGGCTTCCATGGACATCAAGGGAGATAAGTTGTCAAGCCTGAATCTGCTGAGTCATCCTTTTCTGTGAATGTATATTGCCATCAGTTGATGTTTAGAATCTACCGTTGTGACAGTTCCTATGGTTGGTGTACAGTGTGTGCTATTTTTGTAGGACTGAGTGAATCCGAGTCAACTTAAACAATAACTTCCTGTACTCAGTTTACCTTGGAACATGTAACACACTTGTGTAATAGCCATTTAGTGTCATGATTTGATGACAATAACCATTATTTAATACATTTTTAAACTTGAAATCAAGATTTTAGTATAAATATTTTATTATTGCCGTTTCGTAATTCACAGTCAATATTTAAAGGGTTCCTGAAGATTAATTTGCAAGAACCCAATGAATGTCCGAGGCTTTGTGGCAAAACTGTTGTCTTTCATTTGTTGAATTTTGTCCTAGTTGTATATCTACTTGTTTTTGTGGGAAATTTTAAGATGGATTAGATAATTTGTACATTTAGGCTGCTTTTATCTACAACATTGATGTTATTTTATCATGTACAGTCGTTAGTTTCTGTCAGCAGTTGTTGTTTGAACAGTAGTCTGTCAGTTTTATCTGCCTATCTGCAATGCTGTTCTAGATACTATTTTCCTTCCAAGTATCTTGTTTATGAATGTAGGCTCCTGAGTTTCATGACATTTTTGTAGCATGCTTCATGCATTGACAGAGGCAGGAATATCTATCCACATGATCACAGATATGACAGAGTTACGAAGTTACAGTCTGTTGTAGGTACCTGAATCATTTTTGATAGCAAGGCTTATATTGACAGTACCCTTTGGATGCATGACCGAGGGAATGTGAGAATTATAACTCCAAATAATAGATTGACAGGGATCATGGCACGATACGTACAAAGAGAACAATCCTATCAATGTCCCCTATTCTGCATTGAGGGGAGTACTGTCTGTAGCCTACTGGTTAAAGTGTTTGCTTATCATGCCTAACCAGTAGGTTTGACTCCCACTATGAAATGTGTAGCCAATGCAGATGGTACTCTCAGTTCACCCAAAAAGCATGTTACAACT